TATGTTGGGTGGAATGGAGTGTCGCATCTGGATTTTTTTGGTGTGTGTCAGAGGAAAGACAAAACATACCATAACCAAATCCATAGGAAGTCTTTTTGTTACTTTATTTTGTCTTTCTTGTGGATCTCTTAACACTAATGGTAATCCAAAGTGAAATACTAGTCCAGATTTAAGATTTTTGCCTGTAAACTTTCATACTTTCAGAAATGGAGCAACAGTAAGTATAGCTTTTTGGAGTGCTTTAATTGCAGAAACTGGATTTCAGAAGACATGGGCAGCTTACAGTCATGTCTAAAACTACATTGGAAGTTATAATCTTTATTGTATGTTTAACTTGCTTCCACACCAGAAAAGAGCTTGAACAGATGCAATTTCAAAGAAACCTGAGGGAAAAGTGATTTGCTTGTCAAGCATTGGCTACCCTAGGAATTGGTTGAGCCACCAACCCTGGTGATGGTTAAACTATGTGTAGATGTAGTGCTTAGGGACATTGTTTAGTGGCAGACTTGGCAGTGTTAGGTTAATGGTTGGACTCCATGGGTCTTTTCCAATGTAAAGGATGCCAAGATTTGACTATCTTTAAGCTTCCTCATGGAATTCATGGGAATAGGGTTAGAACATAAAGCTGTAGATTGCTTGAGACTTACTAGTGGAATGAAGTACCTGTATCTTTTATGTTCCATGTTACCTCAGTGGAAGCAACTGAAATAGTTTTTTCTACTGGCTCCATTCCACTTGACGCACTTTGGGGCAATATTTACAGCATTTGTAAAAAGTAGTTCCAGTTTTCTAATGAATCCCTTCTTTTCTAATGCATCTTTTTTAGAAGAAGACTGAGAGAGCTTATTTTGTTCACTCCATCGTAGATGTTGGCTGTGTCTTGAGGTCCTGAAGCTAGTTCTGTCTACTGGATCGTGTAATATATCTCAATTTGAGTTACGTTTGTAAGGCTCACTGTATATCTAAACATATTAAATAGGCATACTCCAGAAGGTGGTGTTTTTTAATTTGCAGCCCGGATGATTTTGTTGACAGCAATGATGAAAACTTAAAGGTGTTCGTAAGTGTTTTTGTAAACACATTAACAAAAAGAGGGCCAAGGAAAAGCTCCATCCTTTATTGGATATGGAGGGGAGCACTGTAACCAAGGATCAGGAAAAGTCTGAGGTGCTTAGTGCCTTCTTTGCTTCAGTCTTCCAACAGAAAGATCAGTTATCCTTAGACCAGCCTGTCTCCTGAGCCGGTAGACAGGGATGGAGTGAAGAACAGACCCCCCTGTAATCCAGGAGGGAGTAGTTAGTAATGTGCTGGACCACTTAGACACTCACAAGTGTATGGGACCTGATGGGATTCATTCATGGGCACTGAGGGAGCTGGCGGAAGCACTCAACAAGCTGTTCCCCATCATTTACCATCAGTCCAGGCTAACCAGGTTGGTCCCAGGTGACTGGAGTTCAGCCAGGGTGGAGCCCATCCACCAAGAGGGTCGGAAGGAGAATCTGTGGAACTACAGGCCTGTCAGCCTCACCTCAGTGCCGGGGAAGGTTGTGGAACGGATCATCTTGAGTGCACTCATGCAGCACGTACAGGACAACCAAGGGTATCAGGCCCAGTGAGCATGACCAAAACAGGAAAGGCAGGTCCCACTTGACCAACCTGATCTCCTTTTATGACCAGGTGACCCATCTAGTGGATGAAGGACAAGCTGTGGATGTAGTGTACCTGGACTTCAGTAGAGCCTCTGATATTGTATCCCCCAGCATTCTCCTAGAGAAGCTGGCAGCCCACAGCTTGGACAGGTGCACTCTTCACTAGGTTAAGAACTGGCTGGATGGCCAGGCCCAGAGAGTGGTAGTGAATGGTGCTACATCCAGTTGGTGGCTAGTCGCTTGTGGGGTTCCCCAAAGCTGAGTATTAGGCCAGTCCTGTTTAATATCGTTGTGGATGGTTTGGATGAGGAGATCAAGTGCACCCTCAGTAAGTTCACAGATGACACTGAGTTGGAGTATTGATCTGCTGGGGAGTAGGAAGTCTCTGCAGGGGGACCTGAACAGGCTGGATCAGTGGGACGAGGTCAACTGCATGAGATTCAGTAAAGCAAAGTGCTGAGTCCTGCGCTTGGATCACAACAACCCCATGCAGCTCTATAGGCCTGGGGAAGAGTGGCTGGAAAGTTGCCTATCAAAAAAGACCTGGGTGTGCTGGTCAACAGTGGCTGAACATTAGCCAGCCAGGTAGGCAAGAAGGCAAATGATATCCTGGCCTGTATCAGAAATAGTTCGGCCAGCAGGACTAAGGAAGTGATTGTTCCTCTGTGCTCGGCACTGGTGAGGCCACACCTTGAGTACTGTGTCCAGTTCTGGGCCCCTCAGTTTGGGAAAGACATTGAGGTGTTGGAGAGAGCCCAGAGAAGGGCAGCAGAGCTGGTGAAGGGTCTGGAGGACAAGTCTTATGGGGAATGGCTGAGGGAACTGGTTGTGTTTTGCCTGGAGAAGAAGAGGTTCAGGGAGACCTTTTCACTCTACAACTACCTGAAAGGAGGTCATAGCAAGGTGGGGGTTGGTCTCTTCTCCCAGGCAGCTAGTGACAGGGCAAGAGGAAATGGCTTCAGGCTGCACCAGGGGAGGTTCAGCTTGGACATCAGGAAGATCTTTTTCAGTGAAAGGATGGTTAAGCATTGGAATGGCCTGACTAGGAAAGTGGTGGAGTCACCATCCCTGGAGGTGTTCACAGAATGACTGGACATGGCACTTAGTTCTCTGGTTTAGTTGGCATGGTGGTGTTCAGTCAAAGTTTGAACTCAGTGATCTTAGAGGTCTTTTCCAACCTTAATGATTCTATGATAATTGTAGAATTAGTCAGCAAACTGCAAATGGCAGAGTATTTGTCAATATGCCTTAGAGGTCGCCTTTTCAACATGTCAGATACTATAAAATGCACAGATATGGAAAGAGACAATTGTATTAGAGAAACAGGAGACTTACATACTAAGTAGTATGATAGTGACAGACTATTTGGAAGACTAGCATTAGAAAGCTTTGAAATAGGCAGAATATTTGCTGGAAACACTGACAAAGATTTGAAGAATAGGCAACTCAAGTTCTGTGTTTTTCCATTCGAAGCCTCCTAGGTGCATTTGACCAGACTTGTTTGTTAGAGATACTGTGCTCTGAGCTTTTTCCTATTGGAGCAAAGCCAGGTAACTATTTGTTTAGAAATACAAGCATATAAAGGAAGACTTCACTATTCTGGCTACCAAAATACTTACTGTATAGTGCTGACATACTGATTTTTATGTCCAGAACTGGTAAGACAAAACTATTCTTTAACCTCAGCATTGTGCATAGTGATTCATGTTATTAGTTTAATCAAAACATGAAAAGGTTAGCCAGTCTAATGATAGCCACTGAAGGAGTAACTCCAGTGACATTATACCTGTATGAATGCAAAACAATACATGAAATTTCCTAGCTCATTTTTGAAAGAGATTCTTGAAGAGATTGGAAGTACCCTGTTAGAAGCACTAATATTTATCTAATAATTACAGCTACCAGCTGTCAGTAGGTGAGAAAGTCAATAGAAGTGTGGTCTTAGCAAGATTAGTATCAAGGAATCTTGCTTTCATTCTAGCTAGGGAATGTGTATTTTTATGAATGGTTTGCAAGACCTTGAGCAAAAGTAACACAGTTATTTGAAGGAACGGAGCTAAAAGAGAAACAATCTCCCAAAAATTATGCGAAAAAAATACAGTGTCTGAAGCAAGAAATTCTAGTGCTCATATGCTTTGGTAAGATGGTAAGGGGAATCAGCCTGTATTTGCTTGAGGATGGAGTTGCTTCAGAACATGTCTGTGGAGAAGTCTGTGGAAAAGCTGACTGAACCTTTCTCTAAGTACAATGGAGCCCATTAAAGGATAAATGCAATATCTCAGATAATCTTGTGTCAAACCAGCGTGTTCCATGTACTGTGCAACATCTCAAGGTGCTGATACCTGAGGGCGATTCTTTTGTGTTCACAGTGCTCCTTCTGCTGGCCTTTCATTAAGCTTCGTTGGAGGTGGGGGAACTGAACAGGCTGTAGTACTTGAAGCAGTGGGGAGCCAATTATAAACTGCAGAGAAGTGGGAAAATGAAAGTTGGACAATATGGACAGAAGGAGATATATTGGGTAAAAAAATGAAGTTGTGGATTAATTTATCAAAATTTCTTCTTTGGATTATGGAACTAACTCTAGAGCCCTAATACCCAATAGCTATCTTTTGGGTCTCTTACATAGTTTCTCTCATCACACCAGGAGGTATAGTGATACTATGAAGAGTGGTGAGAAATCCATCAGGGATGCAGTCACTCATCTGCTTGAGGGACTGAGATCTATTTCTGTCTGTTTTACAGCCAAAATGCTTTGTTGTAACGGTATCAGCATGTAATAGTTTTTGTATTGTCTCGGTTGGAAGGCAGGGAAAGTGATGCTATATTTTTTGAGAGGTGTTCCAGAGGAGGTCAGGGGAGCTACAGGTTGGGAGTACTACTCCTACTCAGTAAGGAGTAGAATGTATAGCATGTCTTGGAAAGGGTCCCACAACCTTGACAAAATAATTCCTTTTAGATTGTTTTTCATAAATCCCTGCATCAACTACTGGCAGTTTGATTGGAGGCAGTCAGTAAAGTAATGAAAAGGTGGGTTTATGTGAAGTGCTATTATCAAGTATTTTTAGGTAAACTATAAAGATGGGGCAAGGGAGAAATTGGTATATATGTTAAAGAATAATAAGTAATAGTTAAAGGATGGAACACTATGCAAAGATTAGACAGTTAAAATAAACTTCCTTAAATGTGGATGTTATGTCCACATGTTTGAGATGAAAATGGTGTTTGGCAGCCAGCTCCAGTGTTCTTTAGACCAGTTTTAAACCCAGCATCTTCTGACTATTTCTTTTATGGTATACCATGTCCTTTTTTTTTTTTTTTCTTTTGCTTCTAACTGTCATACTTTTCTACCAGGAGATGGGATTGCCAGGGAAAGTAGCCCATTTATTAACAGTGCAGAGTTGGACACAGGAAACATGTATGAAGGAAAGAATATGGCTCTCTTCGAGGTAAGTTAAATACCCTAAAAACATATTTCACGTTTAATCAACATACACAATCATCTGTTTTCTTTCTGTCTTGAAATTTAGTGGGGGGATAAATGAATTTTATTAACTTCTTCGTAGTTTGGGTCCTGCTAACTTCCAGTTTCAGTGGATTTGAATGATATGTAGGCAAGAACAGTAAATTTTGGTGTGCATTGATGTGAAGATATGAAATAAGTCATCTTGCATTTAAATTTTTGGGGCTGGGATATAAAAATTGCTATTTGAACTGCTGAAGGTTAAATTACAGCTTTTAACAAAGCAGTATTCAGTTGAAATGGATTAGCATATTACTTTGTTCAACAGAGGAAATAGACTTCTATTAAAGCAGCAAGCTATAAAAGAAACTTACAAGCCATGACTTAGTTGTATTGTCAAATTACAGTGTAGAGCATACCATAGCAATTTGTAGTATAAACATCCACTTTATAATGGAAGTTTCATACTTTTTTGAATTAACAGAATGATTGCAATTGTTTACAGAGTATACAAAGCATATTGATATGGTACATTTAAGGGCCACGTTTGCAATGAAATCGTACTTTTACTAAACTTTGACGTAAACTGTTCTGCTGTAGCTGTATCAGCTGGTCTTGCTTTGGTGCTTGCTGTTAACAGTAAACGAGGTCCTTCCGACATTGTTTGCTTAGCCATCTTGATGTTGTGTTCTTAATATTTTCTTCTTGTTCTCGTATGCTCATCTCTTTTTCCTTTCAAATAGCTTTGCACAGAGGACATGGTCTTTCAGTTCATTCTTTGTGCATGACCCTAACAATGTATATTTGCTGTTTTTCATTGAGTCTTAAAGACAGTTGTGCTAAGGATCAAAGTACTGTTGGTCATTAATTGTCTTTTTGTCATCTATGCAATGTCGTACCTTTTTTTTTTGACAAGAACCATAATAGTAGAGTTTTGTCACTGAATTTCTCTCCAAGCTGTATTCCATAAAGTAATGTCCAAAACTTTCTGTGGTTCAAATCAGCTGTTGTATTCCTCAGTGATGATAAATTGGCCATAGCTGCTTTTTGTCTAAAATCTCAGTTATTTTGAATAGTGGCTTACATTGAATCCTCAGCTGCTGGTATAGTTATGCCTTTGACATATCTCAGATTATAAACCATGCTGTCTGTTAGTGTCACCTTGAAAACCTTCTAGTGACTTCATCACCATTGCTGTTGTAGTGATGAATCATTTTTGATATATGTTTCATAGTAAGCTTCCTACAATCTTGTTCTTCTCAGCTGTTTGAATTTTTTTATGAACTTCTAGGAAGAAGTTTTACTATTACTACCATGATTATCATTATCTAATGTCTCAGGCAGAGGTACTTTGATTCTTGTCTTTCTGATTGAGATACTAATCTCCTGTTTTCTTTTCAGTATTTGATTTTTATGTATTTGATTGAATTATCTGGTTCCTTTTTTCTTGTAATCATTTTATTGTATGTGCTTCTTCTGGATTTTATTATTTGTTTTAGCATGTTTTTGTTTCATAGCAGATACTTGGCTAAAGACAGATGGACTGACTCTTGTGTCAAGTAGTATCACATGTGCAATTACATGTGAGATGCATATGTGCCTGTATTTTCAATGAATTAACACTTTGGAAGTAGTATGCATGGTTTAAGATAAAATATGTAAGCCTGCAGTGGTAGACTTCAAAGAGATCCTTTAAGTATCTTGGTGCTTGAGAGAATCGTTTGAAGTAACTCTCTAGACACAAGCAGAATGCTGGAAATGCACCCTTATGACTTGACCCTACCAGTACAATTCCCTAAAAACTAAGATTTTCTTCAATTAACAGTGGTCTTTCTCTAGGTTTTCCTTATATTCAAGCTGCATATTGTAAGATAGTGTAATACAGTGAAAGAAATGTTGCAGCATAGCTGTGTGGTCTTAAATGTCTAGAAAGAATAGAACTCTTGTTAGTTGAAAGCTGACTGGTATTTTTTAATGCTAATTTTTTCATTTGGGTGAATCAGGGCTGAGCTGTTGATTTAAGTGTTTGAAATACTATCATAAAATTGTGCCTTTAAAAAAACGTGTTTAATGAATGCAATATTCTTAAAAATCCAACAGGAAGAAATGGATAGTAATCCCATGGTGTCATCTCTTCTGAATAAACTAGCAAACTACACTAATCTGACTCAAGGTGTGGTGGAACATGAAGCAGATGAAGACAGCAAGCGAAAGGAAGTCAAGGTATTTAAACTTCTAATAACTTACTGAGGCAAAGCTAGCCACAAAGAGGTGCATTTTTCAACCTGAAAAGAGAATGTGGATGGCTGTCGTGGCTTGGGAATAGTATTCCCTGATTTAGTGTTTCCCACTGAAAACACCTGGATCACAAGGTGCTTGCTCACTCCTCACCCCTTCCCTGCACAGAGGGATAATGAAGAGTTGGGGCACAAAAGGTGAAGATCCTGGGTTGAGATAAGAGCAATTTACTAGGAACAGCAGTGAAAGAAGAACATGAACAGTAACAGAAGGACTTGCATGTGATTGCTCACCATAGGACCTGATGCTGCCTGACCGCACCCTTGCGCGTGGGGCTCAAACAATGCCGCCGTCCGTCCCCGGTGCACTATGTGGGGTGGTATAGAATAGTCCCAGGGTCCCAGCTGTCCCTTCTGGCTGCTGCAAGAGTTAACCCTGTCCTGGCTAGAACCAGGACATTTTCCACCCCTTATTCTATACCATCTGTGTCATACCTAGGTCTAACACCTTCCAAATATATATATAAAAATATATATACACATATACATACAAGCACGAGTGTCATTGCCTTAGTCTATGACTGTCCCTTCAAGGTGTCTGTTGAGTTCATTCAGTCCATGACTGGGTTCTGTCTGTCCTGAATGCCTTCCAGAGCAAGAGGGCTTGAGTGCTGTGAGGTGGTTGGAAGCTGCATCAGGAGCTCATGTCTGGTGTATCTGGAGCAGTCCATACTCATTGCCCGTGGTAGTTACAACACAGTGGCAGTGTCGTTCAGCAACCATTATCATACAATTTAACATTACTGATTTCACCCAAAAATTAAATCCCCTTGAGGTACACAATGTGCCTCCCCATCCTTCTGCGTTACCCACCAAGTGCACCCAAGTCGTTGAGCAAAAATAATCCCATGAATGGGTTTGCCTTTGCTTGAGGCAGGACTAATCCAAACTGTCTTACCTAACATAGTCTTTATATGCACTGCAGGGACTTTATATCCTCCTACAGTATGTGGAGGTTTTGGTTGGGTGAGGCCAGCTTGATTGGTAGAACCTCTAGTGTTAACTGACCAAGTGGCCTTCCATAGATGAAGATCCCTAATGCTTGGAGGTTCCACCACTCATTGCTTTCAATGTGTTTTTCAACAGTCCATTGTACTGTTCAGTCTTCCCAGAGGCTGGTGTGTGATGGGGAATGTGATACACCCATATAATACCATGGTCTCTGGCCCTGGTGTCTGTGAGGCTGTTTCAGAGATGAGTCCCATTGTCTGACTCAATTCTGTCTGGGGTGCCATGTCACCACAAGACTTGCTTTTCTAGGCCCCAGATAGTGTTCTGGGCAGTGGCATGAGGCACAGGATCTGTCTCCAGCCATCCAGTGGTTGCTTCTACCATGGTAAGCATGTAACACTTGCCTTGGTGGGTTTGTGGGAGTGTGATTACATCAATCTGTCAGGGCTCCCTGTATTTATGTTTCAGCCGTTGTCCACCGTACCACAGAGGCTTTACTCGCTTGGCCTGTTTGATTGCTGCACATGTTTCACGGTTATGAATAACCTGGGAAATACTGCCATGGTTAAGTGCGCCCCTCAGTCACAAGGCAATCTTTGTTACATCTCTTCCCCGATGACTTGAGGTGTCATGGACTCACTGAGCCAGAAATAGTTCACGCTTATGCTGCCAGTCCAGATTCACCAGAGGCACTTTAATTTTCGCAGCCTGATCCACCTGTCCATTGTTGTGATGTTCTTCAGTAGCCTGACTTTTGGGTACATGGGCATCTACATGACATACTTTTACAACCAGCTTCTCTACCAGGGCAGTGATGTCATGCCACAATTCAGCAGCCCAGGAGGGTTTACCTCTGAACTACCAGATGGTCTTACTCCATCGTTCTAGCCACCCCCACACAGCATTTGCTACCATCCGTGAGTCAGTGTAGAGGTAAAGCAGTGGCCACTTCCCTGGTTCAGCGATGTCTAAAGCCATCTGGACAGCTTTCAGCTCTGCAACTTGACTTGATCCACCTTACCCCTCAATAGCTTCTGCAGTTTGCTGTGCAGGACTCCATACAGCAGCTTTCCATTTTTGATGTATCCCTACAATATGGCAGGAACTGTCAGTAAAGAGACCATATCGCTATTCATTTTTCTGGCAGTTGATTGTACGATGGAGCTTCCTCGGCACGTGTCACCTTCTCCTCCTCTGATGATTGACAAACATTTTTCACCTTTAGGCCAGTTCGTGATGACTTTCAAGATCCCTGGGTGATTGGGGTTTCCTATTTGAGCTTGTTATGTGATCAGAGCAATCCACTTACTCCACGTATCATCAGTGGCATGATGTACCAGGAGGAGCTGTGCTTCAGTGCCAGCCACTTCTGAAGCAGCTTGAACCCTTTCATAAGCTGCCAGTATCTCCTTTTTTGTGGGGGTGTAGCAGGCCTTGGATCCTTTGTATGCTTGACTCCAGAATCTCAGGGGTCATCCTCATGTCTCCCCTGGTGTTTTCTGCCAAAGACTCCAGGCAGGACCATTCTCCCCGGCTGCAATGTAAAGCACATTTTTCATATCTTACCCTGTCCAGACTGGTGCAAGTGCTACTGCATGAACAGTCTCCTGTTTAATCTGCTCAGAAACTTGTTGTTGTTCAGGACCCCACTTAAAATTGTTCTTCTTCCAGGTCACTTGGTAGAGAGGGTTTGTAATCTGGCTGTAATCTGGGATATGCATCCTCCAGAATCCCACAGCACCTAGGAAAGCTTGTGTTTCCTTCTTGCTGGTTGGTGGGGACATAGCTGCTATTTTGTTGGCCACATTCATTGGAATCTGACAACGTCCATCTTGCCATTTTATTCCTAGAAACTGAATCTCCTGTGCAGGTCCCTTAACATTATGTTGCTTTTATGACACCCCAGAGCTGCAAAAACTGCTGTTGTCTTCTGTGATGCTTAAGCAGGGCCATTGTCTGATTTCACTGTGTGTGGAATACCTACAACAGTAAAAGCCAAACGTCAGTGAGCAATAACATCATGACTTTTCTCACCAGTGTGAGCCGAGGCCCATATAGCTGAAGAAAAGGTGTCAATAGATACATGTACATATTTATAACGACCAAATTCAGCAACATGTGTGACCCTTGTCTGCCAAAGCTGCAAAGCTTGCAAACCCTGAGGGTTTACACCCATTTGAGGTGGCATAACATGGCCTTGGCAATCAGCACAGGTGTTAACAATGTTGTGTGCTTCTGTGGAGGTCAAGGAGAATTGTTTCTGCAAAGCATGAACACGTTGGTGAAAAAATCCATGTGATGCCATAGCTTGTGCTATTTTGTCAGGCAGCAGAGTCATCCAAGCGGGGTTGGCTAACTTGTCTGCTCTGACATTTCCTTCCGTTATAAATCCTGGTAGACGTGTATGACTCCTTACATGTAAAACATAATAAGAACAAGTTCTATTTTGAATTTCATGCCACAAGGTTTTTAACAGGCAAAATAGTTGAGCATTGTCAACTTCTTTTAACAGAGAACAGTCCAGTCGGTCTGCAGTATCAGCAACACAGGCAGAATCAGTAACCACATTTAATGGCACATGAGGAAAGTGCTGAAAAGCCATAATTACAGCACACAATTTGACCAGTCGAAGGGAACTGGTTTCGTGTCCTTCCGGGGTCTGCCAGTCCACACCCTCTTTCCAAGTTACGGTAGCTTTACCTGTCTTGCCAGATACATCAGTAAAAACAGTGAGACCTTGGAGCGGCACACGGCTACTGCGCGGCCTCAGTGATGACACTGTAGGTGTACTGAGTTGTAATAACTTGTGGCGTGGCAAACTATCAGAAATCTGTCCTGTGAAATTCTGTGAGGCACTCTGTAATGCAACATTGTTAGCAAGGCACCATTCCAAGTATTCTTGTTGAATTGGTATTATAATTGTAGCAGGGTCTCTTGCAGTCATTTGCAAGCACCTTTGTCAGCTCTTAATGATCAACTGTGCAACAAGTTCAAACATTGTAGGAGCTATTTTTTTTGGCTGATGGGGTAAGAAAACCCATTCTAAAACATGAAGTGGGTCACACCAGTGCTTATCCCATTGTTCTATAATGCCAGTAGCTTGGCATTCAAGAATGACAATAAATACAATAAAGTCAGCATAAAGGTTTATGCGACGAACTTGACAATTAGCAACAGCCCATTCTACAATTTCAAGGGCCTGCCTGGCTTCTGGAGTTAATTTACGAGATGATTTCAGGTCAGGATCACCTTTCAAAATTTGAAATAAAGGAGATAACTGAGCAGTTGTTAGGCCTGAGTAAGGCTGTACTCAATTTGTGATACCCAAAAGCTTCTGTGCCTTGTTCAAAGTTTGGATTTCTTTTGAAAACTTTATCTTTTGTGCCACATACCACTGACAAATAGTGGGACTATTTTTCATACCTTGCAGGAGTGCCTTCCATTGATACCGTTTGATAGGTTCTGCATTATTAATAGATGGCACTTCAAATGCAAACTTTGGGGTATCATGAGGATGCAGTGGGATGGTCAAAAAACCATCTTTCAAACTGACAATCAAAATATCCCATTCAGCATGAGTCATAGTTGGGTATGGCATTCCAGGCTGTAAAACACCCATACTTTCCATTATTGTGTTAATTTTCCTTAAATCATGAAGCAGTCTCCATTTACCTGATTTCTTTTTGATTACAAACACAGGAGTATTCCACAGACTGGTAGAAGGTTCAATATGACCTTGATCTAACTGTTTCTGTACCAGCTCTTTAAGGGCACTTTATTTCTCATTTTCCAGAGGCCACTGATCAACCCCCACAGGTTGCTCAGTGAGCCACTCTAAAGCCAATGTGGGATGCTTTATGCTCTTCTGCACAGTGGCCCCTATTAAAAATCTGTCCCAACACACCCCCTGGGCTGACAGAACATCCCATCCCCACAAATTAAGTGGTGCAGCAGTGACATAGGGATGAGCGGTGGCAGTTTGTCCCTCTGGATATTTAATCAAAACAGGTTTGCTACTTAGATAACTCCATGTGGCACCTCCAAGGCCTGAAATAGCAGATCCTACAGTGGTGGTAGGCCACGTAGAGGGCCATGCATTAGCCGAGATGATGGTAATGTCTGCTCCAGGATCAATCATACCCCTGAGGTTAATTTAATTTGAGATGGACTTGCACCTGTCATTGTGATAGTACAGACCATTTGTGGTCTACGATTGGATACAATATGAGTCCAAAATACATCTGGTTTTTCTATGGAGCCAAAACCTTGATCTCCCTGTAACTTAGAATCTGTTTTTGAAACACAGGACTTAAAAGGAATTAGTTGAATGAGTTTTTGCCAGTACAGTTACAGGTGGAGTGGGTGTTGATACCATGGCATGTATCTGTCCAGTATAGTCTGAATCTGTAACACCAGGGTGGACAAAGATTCCTTGCAATGTTGTACTAGATCTTCCTAACAGTGATGCACTAAGCCCTTGCCCTATGGGGACATTAGCACCCAAAGGAACCTTATGCACCCCTAAGGAAACGAGTGTTACTGTGTCGGTGGTGGAAACGTCCATGCCAGCAGGTCCTCTGGTTTTTCCAGTGAGCTGGCTGCATAAGCCTGTATCAGAGGACGAGAAGGTACTTGTGTCTGTGCGCGCTTCCCATTCATGCTCCTTCTCCAGTTTCCCTGCTCCATGAAATGCTGATTCTTGATATGTATTTTAGTTCTACAATGTTTAGCAAAATGACCAGGCTTCCCACATTGATGACAGGTCACAGTTTCAGGAACTGGTTTTTGTTTTCAAGGATTGAATCTTAGATGATAATTAGCTTGAACATGTCCCAGTTGTCCACAGATGTGACAACAGAGAGACAATTTTACTGTGTTAGTAAATGAGTCATCCAGCATGGTCATTTGGTAAAAAGTAGTTCCAACTTTTGCATAAGCATCTATCATCTCTTCCAAAGATGAATTATTGCTTGGCAGGAAATTAATAATTTTCCTGCAATCATCATTTGCATTGTCCTGTGCTAATTGCAAAAGTAACTGATTTTTTGTGTCACAGTTTGCAATTTGTTTTTCCCTTGCACCTGTTAACCTTTCAATAAAAGTCAGGTATGGTTCTTGAGGACCTTGTTTTATTGTAGAATACCTTTGGGTTGGCACTGACATGTTGGCCATTTCTAGCAGAACCTGCAGCCCAATCTCTCTCGCCTGTGCCAATACTGAAGGGTGTAATCACACTTGCAATTGTGGGTTGTCTACTGGATGTATCCCTAAAAGCTGAGGTGTTCCTGCCCCAAAGCTTGGGTCGTCCTGAGGCACCTCGAGGTTATGCAAGGATTGCTCTTCAGCAAGCACTCTTGAACATTAAGTACTGCACAGGGGAGCAAAGCAGTTTTGCGATTTGCTTCACGTCAAAAGGGGTAATTTCTTCCAGGGCTAAAAAATGTAACATATTTGCCACTGCCGGAGATCCCAAACCATGCTTATTAGCTAACTGGTGCAACTCTGTAAGAATTTGCCATTTGTAAGGACTGTATTGATCAGGTGCGGTCCTGTTACCCCTTACTACGGGAAACCCTGATTCCTCCCTCTCCAAATTCTTGGGTGCGCGCGCCCCCTTGAGGCATAGGTACCAAAATCTGTCCTGCAATCTCCATGTCCCCGTTAGCAACTGCTATTAATTTCATCCTTTTCCAAAATTCAGCGGGTTCATACGTGGATACGGTAACTGACTGTCTTTTCAGGATCTTTTCTGCATAAGTAGCCTATGGATATTTGGAAGCTGGATGCTCTGAATTTACCATTCAGTTTCACTTATCACAAATGCGAAGTGTTTGTGGATAAAGTGCTTCTGGACTTAAGTTTTTTAGTGCAAAGGAATCAAAGTTCTCACTTCATTTCCAGGTTCCACGAATGGGCACTTTTATTGGTGTGTATCTTCCCTGTTTGCAAAACATCTTGGGAGTCATCCTTTTCCTACGTTTAACATGGATTGTAGGAACAGCTGGAGTTCTTGAGTCTTTCATCATCGTGTTCATGTGTTGTGCTTGTGTAAGTTAATGATTTTTCTGTTTTTGTAACTGTTGGCCAAATCCTCTGTTACAAGAGTACTGATGCATTCTAATATAAGAGTATCAGAGATAGATAACATACTGGTAAAATTGCGCTGGTGTTTAACCAATATGGTTAAATTGAGAGACATGGGATATATATATTTAAGCAGTGAGTGTCACGAGTCATTCTAACCTGTATGGAATTTCTTTTGAGTTGATCAGAGTAAGCTTGTGTCTGAAGTAGTATATGAATTTTATTAAATCAGCTTTTAGTAGGTATTTCATGACTGACTTTGATATCTAAGCTGTTCTGCTTTTCACAACTTCAGAACAAACTGAAATGTAAACTACAAATCAAACCACAGCATTAGGTCCATAAAGTAATATTTTAGAATGTGAGACCACTAGTAGATGGTGTCACAACAATGATATGATCAGTTTGTCACTGCTACTTAATTGGAATAATGAACATACTGTTTTAAGTATATTCAGTGGTCTGTATTCATCCAGTTCTTATTAAAGGCTGTCTCAAACATCTGAATTAACTGAATCTTCTACTGAAAAATTTAGGACTTAATTTACATGGATGTCCCTAACCAAAGATATTGTAACTGTAACATCTTATGAAAAAAAATAAAAGGACATTTTCTAGGTTCATCTGATCACTTTGTCTTGACCCATCTTTAAAAAAAACCCAAACTCTCGTATTTTAAATTTCCTCTGTTTTGTCTTTCCACAGACTATGCTAACTGCAATTTCAATGAGTGCAATAGCAACAAATGGTGTAGTTCCAGGTAATGAAGAATTTAATCTTAAGTGATGAATGGTCATATGGTGAAAGTTTAAAGTGGGGATAATTTTAGTAGAGTCTCAATTATCAGAAGTAATGCTTTTGTTGTCAAATGCTTATTTTCCTTTAACTGATTTTATAAAAGACTTTTTAATGTGAGATCAAGTCTTTTAACTGGACCTTCTGGGAATTACAAACTGCAGCACATCTTTGTCATCAATCATTTGATTCTGTTTTTAGGAAAGATAAAGTGTTATAATTTGAATTAATGGACACTGGTCTTAATGCAAAGCAACTTTCTTAACAAATTTACAAATAAGGCTACTGCTTCTTTGTTCTCTTCTGAACTTGCCTTAATTTTGTCTAAACACTGCAGCTAATTATCTTGTTTTCTGCAAGAATAGCAACCAGTCTCCCAACAGAAAAATATTCTATATAAGCATTCTAGGTTCTGCTCATCTCCTTAAATTTTCAGAATAAATAGATGTATTTGTCTGGCTTCATAACTGAATTGTCCAACTTTAGTGATTCTATGAAAAACACTTCAGACTCTGGACAATGACATATGTTTATTTAAAATGAAACACTTCCTTTCTCTGTCTCCTCTTTCTTCCTCAGTTGTCGTGATCGGAACAAATATGAATTGAAGAGTAGATGGAGAGGGAACCAGAGAGGAAAATGCCTTGAGGGGGTTGGGGAAATTCTAGTCAGAGATGAAGGGCTTGAAAATTAGAGCCTTATTGAAAGAGAAATGGGTTGTGTGTTTATGCCTTAAGGAGAGATGATGCACGTGTATGGGAAATACATGTGAGAAGAATTGAAATATTCAGAATCAAAGTGAATAGTGTATGATTAGAAAAGAAAAAGCAATCCCTACCTAATACTTTTAAATGTAAATGAATTAAAAATGCCTGTAGTGAAAGTGGTAATGATTTCATATACATAAAATAAAAGGAATGTATATCAGTGAGAAAATTCTATTTTTATCCCTATCTCATAAAGCAATTATTTTGGAAATTTATTGTTTGATGGGGAACAGCTTGAGGTTAGAAATTAAAGATTGATTTCCATCTATTTATACCTGTATATTCTTTTTAAATTTACTTTTGTTTAGCTTGTGGAATTTTTCTTCTTTTTTCCTTGGTCTTTATTCCCCAGAAAATGCACATAAGGATATTAACCTTGAAATGTACATACAAACTGCCTAGTTGATATGGACATTGACTACAGTTTTGGTATGAGCTTGTCAGTGGAGACACCTGCAGTTGTTATCTTGATTATATTCATTCTGTGATTGAAATATTTGTTCTCTATTGGTGTCCTTAATCTGAAGGCCTGAAGAGTGTTTTTATTATTTTTAAATTCACAGCTGGAGGCTCTTACTACATGATTTCAAGATCTTTAGGGCCAGAGTTTGGTGGAGCCGTTGGACTTTGTTTCTATTTGGGCACAACCTTTGCAGGAGCAATGTACATTCTGGGTACCATTGAAATTTTATTGGTAGGTACTAGTTGTTCTTAAGACTAAATGTATTTGGGCTGTTTTGGGAGATTGCTGACAAATGTAATTGGGCTAAAATATATTTTGCTTTGGTGATTGTTAATGTTCTGATACTACATTTTCAGTATGTTGGTATGTATTCTTGCTCTATTGGTGACTATTTGAAAAAGTTAAAAAAAATTCGTACCAGTAATACAAAAATAAATTAAAGGCTGTTAGATGTGAGTTTACTGTACTTAAAGGAGGAACCAAACAGAATTCCTCTCCTTCCAAATGTAAGATCAGACAAGCCTTCCTAGGGTAACTTATAGAAACTTCTCACCTTCTACTACTGGCTGCTGCTTGATGAAAAGTTCTGAAGAACTTGAAGGGCATATCTCTTATGAGGCAGGAATTGAGAATCTCTCCCAATTCCTGCTTTCCAAACATATATCTGTAAAGATGGTGTGGAAGACTGCCAGTGTGCCAGTGGCCCACGTACTCTTTATCCAGAAGGGGCCAGACAGTTACTGGTCATCATATCAAAAACTGTGCAAATATGCACAGAATTCCTGTTTGTTACTTGCTAAGACCCATGTAATAAAATCTAGGCTTTTTTGAATTTAATTTACCAACGGTCCTTACTCACTACTCCTTCCTTCATTGTTCTGATCTATAGTAGCCACGAGCACCATGTCACATTGTGGATTGCATTTGGTGCACTGTTCTCCCTATTGAAGAGTCATTCTGGGCTTATGTGTTGCTAATAAACATGTATGGGGTTCAGCTACAGAATTCAAAATAAAATTCTTCCCAAGATATCTGGCAGAGACTTCACAACAGACCCTTGTCATGGCCACAATGCATGAGTATTATGGGGTGTTTTTCACCACTGGGACATGGATTATTTGAAGGGACAAAAATTGGACATCTGCCTATGGTGTTTCCTAGTAAGGGCTGTAAACAGTAGGGCAACAAAGTGCAAAAATCTTCTGGAGTACCTCCCTACAGAGCCTGACACTTCTGCAACATCACAATGTAGGATTTTCTAATGATATATAAAAATAACTGTAATCAGTTTTTCAGTTTGCTTTATCTTTCTTCCATGGTGATGTGACAATTTTAATCTATTCTAGTAAATATTAATGTACTAAATTTAATTAAAGAAAATTCTAGTTAAGAATTGTCTGCATCTATTTTTGGATTTTGCTTCTGAACATATCAGGATAGCCTCCTGTTCAAAGTTTCTTCCTGCCTTTAGGAGTTAAATTATTTAAGGATAGTCAGTTTAGCCGTTGTTTTGAAGGACTGGAATTGCCTCAAGCACCAGTACTCCCCTAGTAGCTAAGCAGAAAGGTTTGGGTTTTTTAAGAGGTGCTAGAAGGAAAAATAAAGATGATGTTATCGTGTACTGTAGTACACAAAAGTCTCAGAACTATGGATCAATTTGTCTCCTCACTTGCATTTATCAATGTAAGTCCTATGAGCTATGCTTCCAACTTCTGTTCAGGTAGAACCCAGAAAAAAAATTATGTGAAATTGAGATCTGTAAGAGAATCTTGTTTGAAATTGCAGTAGTTCAAATTGCTAAAACTAGCACAGGGCTAAGCATTGTCACACGATTCTTAAATTGTGCTGTTGGTAACTTCAGATTAAAATTTTATGAAACACAGTGTAGTGACTATGATACATCTTTAGTTTTTATTATGCTTTTGTTTGATGCTTCATATTTTGTTTCATTTGATGGAATTAAGGATATATGTCTGGTTTGAGCTAGTTTATGGGTTTGTTTTTTTTCTTTTAATTTTTGTCATGTGCTCCTTCCTTTCCCCCTAAATTCCTTTGTGGTTTTTCCTGTCTGGCAGACACATGAATTTGAGGAGTGGAAACTCTTAAAGGGGAGAGAAGAAGCTGGAAGAAAAGCAGTGTCTTATTCTCAAAACTTGTTTTTCTTCATGTTCACCTCCCCTTCACCTCTGCACTTTATAAATGCCCATCTTATCTGGTTGAACTCATTGTGAAAGCATATAACTTATATAGAAGGTTAGATTTTGTAGTTCAAGTAAATTATTCGTAATAAAATGTTTGTTATTATACATATGATAGTTTGCCATATCTCTTGCAGACCTACATTTCTCCAAGTGCTGCTATATTTAAAGCAGAAGATGTTAGTGGTGAAGCAGAGGCTATGCTGAACAACATGAGAGTTTATGGAACATGTATTATCATTCTGATGGCCATAGTAGTTTTTGTGGGAGTAAAGTATGTCAACAAACTTGCACTGGTCTTCCTTGCCTGTGTGATTCTTTCCATCATTGCCATATATGCTGGAGTTATTAAGACTGCTTTTGACCCTCCTGACTTTCCGTAAGTGCAATATCTTTAAGCTGTGTGGGTTATTTAAGAGAAAAATGTGTGGGGAAGGAATAGCTACTGTAATCATATCATATTTTAACCTAAGCTTCAAAATACAAGCACATTGGCTTCAGTGGTAGGTTTATGCAGCCTAGATAGTGTTGTGCTCATTTGTTATTCTGAGTTACATGTCTGAATCTTTCTCTCATTTTTCATAAAACATGATACTCTAGAAAATGTTGTTTGGTGTTTACAATTATTGGCTGGTTTTCTATCCAAACCTGAGAACAGAACAGGTGGGTTTTGCTGCTTTGTTTAAAGAATTAAATTAAAAACCTGTAGAATAAAGTAAAAATGTCAAGAAAACATTGTAGCTATGAACAACAGTTGTGAAGGAAACATACTTTCAAACTTTGTGTAATGAGGAAATTTTTGAAACTTCCATTTCTCCCTACTAAAAGTCGAGATGTTGCAGTGTTAAATTCACTTGTGTTTGTGAAGGCTTTTTTGTTAATACAGTAAAATTTTATTGTTGTCACACGTGACATGTTGCTTTCCCTCACCTTCAGCTTTTGTCCAATTATCAGTACGTGAATTGCATTTTTGTGCATCTTTTTCTGCTTGGAGAGAAAGCAAAATTATACTGCTTAAAACTTCAGCAGAATAGCCTGATAACTCCTGTTATGAAGTGCCATGCAGGACTGAAGTTATCCTTTACTGTATGACTGTTAGAGATTCCATAGTGCTTTGAAGAGTTGGTAATTGTATTATGGATAGAGCATTAAAGCACTATTTGTGAACTGTTCTGTAATGTGATAGTAAGTCTTCTATTGAGAAGACAAGTGTGATCAAAAATTGACATATTTCTGAATAAAACTTGAGTTTGTAAGAAACTGTAACTTCCATTGGGGAAATAGTTAAATCTTTTGGTCATTTATATAGGTAGAAGAGGGTTTATCTGGATATGTAGCATAGGTAAGACTTATTACCAACTTCCTGGGAACCTTATATGTGGCTGCTACTGTGCTATATTATTGTCTGGGGGGAAAAATATAAAGAGGTTATTTTCCAATAAATGTCATTGTTTACATTTATAGTCTGCCTCAAAATGAGAAACTCAGGTGTGGTTTTATATTATGGTAAGGCTGATCATAAAAGAGCTGTCATAAAAAACCCAAACAACTTCCACTTATCTGGTTGGTTATGTTGGTATCACTAACCTCCCTTAGGTTTGGCCATTGTATAGATGGCAGAATAGTGTAACTGATGAACTCCCAGCTGAATCAACCTGAAAGAAGTTTCCAGTGGTTGAATTGTAGTATCATAGTGTTTTAAGGGATCGGAATGGCCCTTAGAGATCATCTAGTCCCAATGCCCCTGTGCTGTGGACAGGGACAACTGACCCTGCTGCTATAGGGTCACCAAATCAATGACAATTAAAAAAGAAAAATGAACAAGGCAAGTGGCAAGATGATGATCCTCTTTAGCAACAGCTTGCTGTTAAGTCTGCTCAACTTTCAGGTAATACCATACCTCGAAGCTGTACTGGGGTCCTGTACTTTTCCTAAGGCATTTACTCCTAATTGCACTGAGAAATAGAACATTGCACTAGGGCAATATTATACCTGACTTTGTATACTTGTTTTAATGCCAAGTGGTATATTTTTGCTGTTAGTTATCAGCTTCTTAACTGAGCCCCTTCAGAAATACTAGATGTGTACTGTGTGATCTTTGACTTACCTGCCTAACCCACATGTTTCATTTGATGTTCCTTCTTTGGTCTTCATAGATACACATCATTCCATTATGAAGCAAACCTGGAAGAGAGATCTCCTAAACATCCTTTGTGTAGTTTAGTAAAGAAGTATTCCAGATCCTCAATATTCTGTTCTTTAGTGATCAAGCTGATTAAATTTGATTGTATTTTCTAAAGAATAAATCAGAAGGCAAAATAACTATTAGTACTTTAAAGTAGAGGTATTTGATCCATGTTTTAAGAACTGTTGATGATAGTTTTAGATGTAGAAACTGTATGCTGTTTCATTAGCTATAGTACAGGCCTTAAGATAACTAGTCTAAATAGCAGGTTTCTGAAGAGGTCTAATGGGCAAAAAATGGCTTAATGCACAACCCTATATCCAAGGATCACTGATTTTATTTTTTTGTTTATAGTATCTGTCTCCTTGGAAACCGTACGTTGTCAAAACGCAACTTTGAGGTCTGTGCCAAATTTACTGAAAGTAATAATGAAACAAAGACTACACCTTTGTGGCTCCTATTCTGTGATAGTTCTTTGCTTAATGCTACGTGTGATGACTACTTTAGTCTGAATAATGTAACAGAAATTCAAGGGATTCCAGGAATAATGAGTGGAGTTCTATCTGGTAAGTTGGAAAACACAGTGATTTAAAAATTTTTGGACATTATTAATTTGGCTGATAGCTGGTCAGTAATGTAGTGGTCTAGCCTGTCACTACTTCTTTAGCTGTAAGCTGTGTGAAAGATTGCTACCTTGAGCATGCTTCTTCCTAAAATTTTCATCTGGTTTTAAAAATTAGTATCAAGGGCTTTACTTTGGAGGCCATTGGAGTTTTGTGACACTCCTTCAAAAGCCATTGTTTGATAAAAAACACCCCTGTGATAAGCACTTTGCTACCTCTTTTTTATAAAGTGTTTAGCTCCTTTGTATGCCAGATACACATTTCAGTAAGCCATTCATTAATACATTTCATGCTCTCCTGAGGGAGAACGTGTTTTCAATTTACAGCTGGTGCATTCAGGATTTCATGTTCTTTCTCATGGTGGTATATTGGTCTGATGCATTGTACCAGATCTTAGAAGTGTCTGTCCTAAATGTTGCTAGAGGAATCTCTGCAAACCATGTCCTAGGAGGGGCAAATGCCGAGATTCTTTTTTCTTACCCTAACTTTTAAGTCTACCTGGATTACCACTTTTGGGGAAGTGAGGATAGGAAAGCGCTTTGTGACATGTTACAAAGTGGGAAAGTGATTTCTATTTAACAAAATATCTAAGCTGATTTTATCCACTCATGCTGGCGTGCACATTTCCACAGTTAAGCTGTATGCATTGGAGTTTCATTGTCACTCCTGTGTCATACTGAATAAAGGACACAAGCTGTTAAGTCCTCATTGAGTGTTTGTGTGCTTTTGACTTGCAATTCCAAACTGATTTTTGGACTACTACTTGTGCTCCACAGGGAGTGGATGCTAATATGGAGATCTTATTTTATATCACTTCTCAAATCTTTGCCAAAATTCCTGAAATTTGTAATTCTTTTGTTTCCTTAACTCTTTGTATGGCTTTGGTCTTACCTCTACATCAGTTTGTTGTTCCTCTTCATTTGATTGAGCTAACACACATAGCATTCTGTAGCAATTAATACTTTGTTTTAATCTTTGTTTTGTTGGCTCTTACGTTTATCATGCATACTTCCATATAGCCTTACCAATAAATTATAAGGTTTCTATTACAAATCTCTATATGAGTCCCCAGTCTTTGGGTTATGGAGGTTCAAAGTCAATCTTCTATTGTGCTCAAGGTAACTATTTGCTATTGTGAAGGCTTAGAATACTGTACTTAATTCCCTGAAGTTGTGCAGAATGGCTGAAAATCGGCTCTTTAATAATCCTGGCAGTCCATGGGAATTTTTTATTTCTGTGCTGCAAAATCATTTGCCTTCTGGACAGGTTGGGAGAGTATCTACTTTTTTCCCTTCACATGTAACAGGACAACTTCTCTCATATTTTAAAATGAGAATCAGTGTTGGCTGTTCTCTCAATCTTGTCAATGTGTACAACAGTGTTTGCAAAAATGTAAGTTCTCAAAAGCTACTGGTTTGTTGACCTGTCAGTCATCTTCAAACAAACGTCCTTAGTTTGCTGGGGGATTTGAGCCACATTCTGCTTATCAGTGATCTTCTGGAGTCTGGTTACTCTGCTTTTTCACCATGTGGAAATCTTTCACCATGAGCAGCTGAATCCTAAACTGTTATCCAGGATTATTCTATACAGCAGGTCTTAAAGAACAGAAGTTACCATTAAGTAGCATTTCTTCTTTTGTACTGCTCCTCAAAATACAAGAACAAGAATTTTTAATATATGTGCTAAGACTGAACCTGGAGATAAGTTTCCTTATTTCTTCACAGTACATCCTGATAATATATCCATGTGTCTGTGCAGTGTAAGTGGACATTTCACAAATATATTAGAATTTAATTCTATCACTAAATTTTTCTGTTACGGAAGAGAAAATTTTGTATGACACATCTCATACACTGCTGCAGTTTTACTGGCACACAGTAAGAATGTATGAGTTACAATTGGTATTAATCATATGGGGAAACATCATGATTTTTGTGTAAGAAAAGGTGTCATAAGATTATTGCACTTTCACTCCTTGATATCCTGAAACAGAGAGACGACACTGACTTCTGTTTTTCTCCTCCCTTGCAGATAATCTCTGGAGTACCTATACAGATAAAGGATCAATAGTCGAGAAAAAAGATCAGCCATCAGTTGCTGGATCAGAAGAGACAAAAATGGCTGGACTCCCTTATGTTTTTACAGACATCATGACCTACTTCACAATGCTTGTAGGGATTTATTTCCCATCTGTGACAGGTACATACAACTACTTTTCTTGAGTGAGGATGCATCCTTAGAGCTCTGTGTGAATGTTTATTGGTGACACGTGATGTTGCTAGTCTGTGTATCCAAGGTTATGTACCTAAAGCCTTCTGGTGTTAGGGAGACATATCTGGTGGCTGGTTTAGGAGGTTATAGGACTTAAACAAAGAATCAGTTTAAGTGCTATTTTCTATGTCTGGAAAGAAAGCGAAAACCTCATGTTACTAAATGCTTATTCAAAATAAGATGCATACCTTTATAATATTTCAATCTTCAAAGGTATGAGAGAACAGTTTAATATTAACATGTTTGTTTCAGGTATTCAAGCCATTAACTGCCTGGGATTTGTTTAAATATCCAATATTTTTTGCCACTGTAACTCTGGAGACTTTTTTGTGAAGCTTAAAGGTTAGATTACTTGTATTTCATTTTCCTCAGCACATGATCGAAACAACCAGACACATTTTTCTTCATAAGTCCCAGCTGAAGCAATTTTAATATCAAGTAACAGAACAGAACTGCAATAAAAAGTAGCAGCAATGTTTGCTAGTGTAATATCAAGTGGAAGTGTCCCTTTGTATTCTTGTTTAATGTTCCCATTTCTTTACTTCAGACTGATTTTATGATATCCGAACCTGTGGTTAGGGTTTCATTCCATGGAATTTGACAATGTTTTTGCACTGAAACATCTTTACGTTAGCTTCTGTAGTTTTGCCTCCAGTGGTCAGGGCAGTTCCAGGAAAGATGGCAGAATTAGTCAGTTATTGTATGGTTTTTTTCCCTTCTGTCACAGTATGTGCTAGAAAACACTTTTGTTCTCCTGTTACATTCAAACAGGGCTGTGTACATGTGATTTTTCTACCAGTTCTCTTTCTTCCTGCCTGTTTGTTTCTTTTCTATTTCTGTGCTTTTATTCTTTAGTTTACTGATTTGCTTGCAATTACTGTGATGGTCTGTTTAGTGGAAAGTTAGTGCATTTGGTCACACTGGGTACAATTGCTAAATCCCCACTACTTTATAACATCTATCCCCAACATTTTGCTACTGCCTTATATTTCTTCATTTCAAGAATGATTCTAAGGTTATGCTTGAAAAGTATTTTCTCTTTTTCTATCATTTTACTGAACTTTATGGAATTTGTTTACAAAACAATGGGTACTTACACAAATTTCTGAATAAAAGATAGGTATAAATTGAGGTTTTGTGCAGGATTATATTACACTTCTGTAGCCTGCTTCATTGGTAATTCTGTGCTAAATCAGGCTTGAAGTTCAATGTTCCTATTCTGTGAGTTATTTACATGGAATTATTATTGCTTTTATGACATAAATTTTGTCTCTTTTTAAGGTATTATGGCAGGTTCAAACAGATCTGGAGATCTAAAGGATGCTCAGAAATCTATTCCTACTGGAACAATCTTGGCTATTTCAACTACGTCTTTTATTTGTATCCTTTATCCTTTTTTTCCTAGTCTGCATTCTGTGGGTATAACAGTATAAGTTTTTCATTGAAAAGTCCTTAGAGCTGCCTGAGTGTAAAATGAATGAAATCTAATCTGAAAAGAAATACTTTATATTTATCTCAAATATAAGTATTATTTATAAATAGTAATAATATATCACAAATTTTATGTGTAAATAGATATATATATATATCTATTCTATATTCTACTAGTGCTTCAAATTCCAAGAAAAAGAGAGATGTTATACTTAAGTGATGTAGAGGTTTTTAGCATCATGCTTCAGTTGGCAGATTGTTGTTAGACTCAGTATAACCCAGTCTTAAAGCAAACTACCAGCAATAGAAGTTGTCAGTCCTTCAAAACCTAGAGAACAGAAATGCTTAGTTGTATAAGAAAATACCTGTTCTGTTGCATGATGTGTGAACTGGCTACCTGCAATACTTCACAGGTCAGCTAGGTATCAAATACAGTCATAGAGAACATAAATTAAAATATTATTGCAGGGAGGAATTAAAAAAAACCCAACCACAAAAACATCAACCAGCCATGCAATACACACACTTCATTATGATGGATATCTTAATTTCATAATTAGGTCCAAAATGGTGGGGTTTCTCTATGTGATTATGTGTAGTGTAATCTTCCTTCAGTCTCAGTAACAGATCTCTCCTGTATAGTGTTGTTCGGTGCATGTATAGAAGGTGTGATATTAAGAGATAAGTAAGTCATATTCAACTTCTACTTAACTCCTGATCTACAACTGATATGTTGTGTCAGTTTTCACCCATGTAATTGCCTGATAATGTTTAAGGCACAATATGAAGCATGAAAGGAGTAAATGTAATAGAAATAAGTATGAATAGAATCTCCAGGTTTTGATAAACTTCTTCTGTAGGAAAAGATAAGTTGACTAAAATGAAACTGTTGTTAGGTTTCACATTTGTTTTCTTGCTGGTGTCTGGCTCTCTTTTCTACTGAGGCCTGGGTTTGCTTTTGGTGATGAAGCAGTGGCACTGGGATATTGTTTGAAAGGTGATGGAGTTGATGCTGAGACAACTCATTTCATTAGTCTAGAAGGAAAACCATAAGTTAAAAGCTTGATTCTAATCAAACCTAATACAAGCAGCAGCATGAAATCATGACAGGCTTTCCACACTGTCTCTCACAGCATCCTCATCGGCAAACTCAAGAACTGTGTTAGATGAGTGGACAGTGAGGTGCATTGAGAACTGGCTGAATGGCAGATCCCAGAGGGTTGTGATCAGTAGCACAGAGTCTAGTTGGAGGCCTGTCAGTAGTGATGACCCCCCATACTCTATACTCGGCCCAATATTGTTTTATTTATTCATCAGTAACTTGGATGAAGGGACAGAGTGCCTCCTCAGCAAGTTCACTGATGATACAAAACTGGAATGAGTGGCTCTACAGGCTGTGCTGCCCTTTAGAGAGGCCTCAACAGGGTGGATAAATGAGCAGAGAAGACCCTTCTGAAATTCAACAAGGGCAAATGCATCTGGGGAGGAATAACCCAGGCACCAGTACAGCTTGGGCACTCATGTGCTGGAAAGTAGCTCTGTGGAGAAGGACCTGGGTGTCCTGGTGGACAACAAACTGTCCATTAGCTAACAGTGTGCCCTTCTTCCCAGAAGGCCAGTGGTATCTTCGGGTACATTAGGAAGAGCACGGCCAGCAGGTTGACGAGGTGATCCTGTTCCTCCCCTCAGCCTAGTAAGGCTGCATCTGGAGTAATGTGTCCAGTTTTGAGCTCCTTTGTACAAGAGAGATCTGGAGCGCCTGGAGCAGGTCCAGTGGAGAGCTACAAAGTTGATCAAGGGACTGCAGCATCTCTTTTATGAGGAAAGGCTGAGGGAGCTGGGCCTGTTGAGCCTTGAGAAGAGATGACTGAGAGGGGACCTCATCAATATCCCTAAGTATCTGAAGGGAGAGTGTCAAGAGGATGGAGCCAGGCTCTTCTTGTTGGTGCCAACCAATAGGACAAGAGGCAACAGGCAGAAACTGATGCACAGGAAGTTCCTCCTGAATATGAGGAAGAACTTCTTTACTGTGTGAGTGACTGTGCACTGGACCAGGTTTCCCAAAGAGGTTGTAGATTCTCCCTCATTGGAGATATTCAGTAACCATCTGGGTGCAATCCTGTGCCATGTGCTCTAGGATGACACTGCTTGAGACTTCTTTACGAGTGACTGTGCACTGGACCAGGTTTCCCAAAGAGGTTGTAGATTCTCCCTCATTGGAGATATTCAGTAACCATCTGGGTGCAATCCTGTGCCATGTGCTCTAGGATGACACTGCTTGAGCAGGGAGGTTGGGCCAGATGACCCACTGTGCTTCCTTCCAACCTGACCCATTCTGTGATTCTGTGATTTTTATTTTAAAATGGTGTCACTGCTTTAGTCCAGGTTTCCCAAAGAGGTTGTAGATTCTCCCTCATTGGAGATATTCAGTAACCATCTGGGTGCAATCCTGTGCCATGTGCTCTAGGATGACACTGCTTGAGCAGGGAGGTTGGGCCAGATGACCCACTGTGCTTCCTTCCAACCTGACCCATTCTGTGATTCTGTGATTTTTATTTTAAAATGGTGTCACTGCTTTAGTGTTAAAATAAAAATTTTTTCAAAGTAAATATAAAAACCAAATCAAATTGCTGAAGAAATAGTAAATTAATTCTTAGAAATTAATGCAAAGCTAATATCTATAAATTCACATTTTTCAAAGTAACATCTTTGATATTTACTGGGAGCAGAAGGATGTGGAATTTTGCAAGCCGTGATCTATCACTAGAGCAGGATGCATTGTAGCAAGAGCATTGAATCCATGAAATTTCGTTTACAGTGCTGCCAGTTCTTGTTTGGCTGAAATCCATCATTAACAGGAAAGTGTGTGGATTTTAGTCTTGTTTAAAGACTGGTTTGGGTTTTCATTATGATTGTCGTATCTGCCATGGGAAAAAGTAGCTTTCAGTGTTCCATTCATCTCTTCAAGTTACTCCTACGCCGTGTTTAATTAAAACACAGGCATTAGAATTTGAATTAGGAATAAATGTACAGCTCTGTAAGTGTTGCCATTGAAGCATAATATGTTTGTTCTCCTATAATTTTTAAAGGGTGTGATTTCCTATCTGCTGAAAATAGTATGCATCCAAGCTCGGGCATATGCAAGAATTTGAACATAGGCTCATTATATTAGCCTGATAGCTGTGTTTCTTGACCCTGCTTTAAAAGCAGGTCTGAAAAGACAGAAAGCATTTAATTTCTGTAGCCTGTTCTTTTCTCTGTTATATAATTTGAAAAACCTGAAAACACTGGGGAAAAAAACTAATGATTCTATCACAGGTGTAGGTAGTCTTAAAAAATTGATTTTAGCTGCTTGCTAGCAAAAGTAAGATGAACTACAAGAATTTTACTTGCTTTTAAAACAAAAAAGTCAGTTTGAAAGAGGGTGAGAGGGATGAAGAACTTGCAGGTGTCATCTGTAAATTAACATAAAGCTGTGAATCTAAAAATAAAAAGGGCAGTAGTATTGGATGGGACACTTAGAACTACTGAAAGTACCTCTTCCTGGCTTCCACCTGCTTGTTTGTCATAGTATTAAAAAAATTGCGTCAGGTAGCACAACAGTCAGAAGATGCGGAAAGCTTGAGATGGTTTTGTCTAGGAATTTCTGTGTTTACTTGTCTATATGTCAGTGTCACACCATGAAAAGGAAATACGTTTTGCAAATCTCCTGCTTATGCCCCAGGCTGTACCTGTATTACTTGTAGAACAGACTTCTGCAGTCTAGTTCCTAGCCGTCACAAAGCTCTGTAAGATGCATATATATGTACTTCTGCTATTGCTGTTAATTCTCTAAAGTTTGCCAAGCATGTCTGCTTTGAGGTAGCACTTAATGTGAAGCAATTATAACATATTTTCTTTAAAATAGCAGAATAAAGTGGGATTGGTTGGCTGGGAAATGCCATAGTGCAGACTGTAGCACAGTGTTTATTGTTAACAGGTGCTTTTGTGCAGAAAGATTGAAATGTGGGTGCTGTAGCTATGGTACAAGTTATTACTGATTGTTTGTATGGTTTGGTTTTGATTTTGTTATTTTTGTTTCCCATGTTCTCTCCTAAGGTTTGGAGAAGCAGTTAATGGAAATCTAGTGGTTGGTACGCTGGCCTGGCCTTCTCCATGGGTTATTGTGATTGGTTCATTCTTTTCAACATGTGGTGCTGGTCTGCAGAGTCTCACTGGTGCACCCCGTCTGTTACAGGCCATTGCAAGAGATGGCATTGTACCGTTTATTCAAGTGAGATATTTTTTTTTCTTTACAATGCTCCAAATGTGGCTTCTATTTTGACAAAAAAAAATGAGGCATTACATCTGCTGTTCCTGTTGAGCTGTAGGAAAACATTTGGAGCTCAGTTCTATTTGTATGCAATAGTAGATCAAGCTATTGTAGGACAAAGTTTGAACTTTAATATTTTTGTGCATTGCAATTCAATTATATTTGTTTTTACACATAGAAGTTAGTGATTCCAAACTGTGAACATAAGTCTTCCATAAATGGAAATAAGTGAACTAAGAAGCAACTAACAACTGAAGTTCTCAAATCAGATTTTTCTCAAAGGAAAGAAGGGAGCTGGCAAACCAAAGATGATTTGTGGTCGGGCTGAGCTGCTTCTGCAGAATCTGGATGACTAGACTTGAGTTTAAAATAAATAAATAAAACTCCAAAGGATAATATTGTCTGGAGAGCAGAGCTGTCATTTCTGTGGTGAAGCTTGGAGTTTGAAAGCTTACCTTAAGACTTGCAAGACTTTCTGTGACAGGAGATAAATACACTGAGTATGCTAGGGTGAGAGGACTGAGTGGTGGTGGACTTTGACTTGTCGATGGAAATGGGTTGTAATGCAATGAATTGTAAATGCTGTGTTGTATTGAGAGAAGTAAAAATTTGGTACTGAATGAGAGGATGCCAGTATGATTACATCTTATCAGGACTAGATTTGAAAGGAATGAAGAATCAGAAGGAAAAGAAAACGTGGTTTGGGAAGTGAGAGAAAGGGAATCCAAGAGAAGCAGGATTTTTAAAGAGGGATTTGAGATGTGCTTGCAGTTTTGGAGTGATATGGCTGCTGCATGGGCAATCAAGGAAATGAATGTATGAAGAATAATATAGGAACAGGATTATGGCATGTTTAAGGAAAAAAAGCCCACAAAATACCTGACATGTGCAGAAAAAAAGGGGATTTTAATACAATGATAGGAAAATGGATGGATGTCAGGAAGCTAAGGAAAGATGATGATATGGAGAATGAATGAGGACTTATTCTCTATAATTAATTGAATGGAGGAATATGGAGGAGAATAAATGGAAATTCAGGCGAAGCATTTTGCCATCTATCACCAGTATATCTGGATAGAATTCTCCACAAAGGAAATTACCACATGCAAAAAAATTTTGGTAGGGCTCTGTGCAGGATCATAGGCTCATCTAAGCCTCTTTAAAGGTCAATGTTATGTGGATAAGTACTGAATTGACACATCATTTCTATGTTATAAAAAATGCTGCCCTCAACTATATTAGCTTTTTATAGATTGTACATAAATCTCTGATGCATGTGGATTTTAAGTTACTTAAGAATGTTTCAACAGCAGCTGCAATAGAACTTTAATGTTATGTAGTCATTGCTTACTTTATTAAACATTTTTCATATTGGAAATGTGCATTTTGCAATTTCGGTTTTGGATTTTTGCAGTATAGAGTGCTTTATTTTCCTATGTAACTAATGCCTGCTTTTAGTTAGAGTTAGAACTAAGTTAGCTAGTTCACAATCTGCACCATTGTTCCTAACCGTATAATAAACAGCTTTCCCTAATCTCACTGTTTACTTGAATTGAACTAGATATTTGGTCATGGAAAAGCAAATGGAGAACCAACTTGGGCTCTACTTCTCACTGCTGGTATTTGTGAAATAGGAATTTTGATAGCCTCATTGGACAGTGTAGCACCAATTCTTTCAATGTAAGTATGAATGTGGTGTTTTGTGTTCTTCAGCTAAATAGTATTTTAATTTTAAATTACCTAGATAATTATTTTTCTTATTGAAATAATACATGCTAGACTTTGTTTTCTAGCAAATTGTGTTCCTATTTGATCCTGGAGATAATATGAAAGAACAAAATGTTTCGGCTGGCACTAATTTCTAGGCACAAAAAACTTTTTCCATGACAGAGTTCTTGAATGCTAATAAAAATGTGTTTCACTTTTTACAAAACTGGATTTTTACAATAAAATTCCTGCTATTTTAGGTCAAGTGCATCTAACGGAGACAAAAAACAACTTGATATTTTAGGATATGAACTGAATTTTATTTTACTGTCTTGGAAGTTCATCCCATGTGTGTTATGGGTTGACCCCAGAAGGCAGCTCAGCCCCACACATCTGCTTGTTCACTGCCTGCCCCCAGTGTGATGGGGGAGAGAATGGGAAGAGTTAAAGTGAGAAAACTTCTGGTTTGAGATAAAGACAGTTTAATAGGTAAGGCAGAAGCTCCACACGCAAGCCAAGAAAACAATAGGCAGATGTTTAGCCATTTCCAGGAAAGAAGGGCTTCGCCCATACTAACTGTTGCTAGGAAAAGCAAACACCTTTAAGTCTGAATGTTCTGCCCTCTTCCTCTTTTCCCTGAGCTGCTACTGCTGAGCATACCATACAGTATTGGGTATCATGGTGGTCATATGTGCCAGCTGTGTCCCCTTCCCAAGACTATTTGCTGGCAGGACAGAAAAAAAGCCAGAAAGGAGCTAAAACATCCCTGAGTTATCAGCACTGTTTAGGTTACAAATCTAGAACATAGCACCATCTGACCTACTATGAGGAAAACTAAATGTCCCAGCCAAAAACAATACACTGTGAATGACAGTTATTTGCTACATTGTCTCTGAAATATTTGAGGCTTTATATTATGCTGATATCATATTTTGAGGCCTAATATTCTACAAGTAATCTTACTCTGTCTTGTGTTCTGTTGGCCACTGTGAACACAGTGCACATGTACATGTTCCTATCCTTTTTTTTTTTTGATTTTGTTTACCATTTTAATGCACCTCTGTCCAGCTAATTTATTGGTAAATGCTCTTTTTTTTCTTTACAGGTTTTTCCTTATGTGCTATATGTTTGTAAATCTGGCTTGTGCAGTTCAGACGCTTTTACGGACTCCCAACTGGAGACCTCGTTTCAAGTATTACCATTGGTAGGGAATATTTCTTTATTCAGAGGAGTTAAGACTAACTATGCAGCCCCAAATTGTTGATTTTATTGCAGTAATAACTCCAGACCTCCTTTCTGACTTAAATGAGTTATGATTCATGCAGTGAATACTTTAAGAGCAACATTTGTTTTCATGTGTTTGGAATAATGCTAGTATTAACAGTGATCATGAAAACATGTGGATAATGTAGGTGGTTTGGGAAGGGGTTACAGGATGACATTTTGTATTGTTTATAAGCCAGGTGGTCTTCTGACCATGTGAAAATGAGGGTGAAAACCCATAAAATCTGTCTTTTACATATATAGCTAAGGAGAACTGGTAAAAGTGTTCAAGAAGGTTGGTACAGTTTAACTTGCAAAAAAAATGTTGCATTTGCAAAAAACATATGTTTTCATTATGCAAAAAATACACAACCCCCAAACTTTTACAGAACAAAAATGATCTCATTCAATATACATCAGTTGGCTCATTAATAATATGATCAGTAGTTTTAAAATATGCTTTGGACATTGCCTTTGATAACTGAGGTAGACAGATACCTGACAATGTCAGTAAAGGTCAATTATACAAAAGGTTGAGGGTGTATTTTTTTTGTTTAGTCTTTTTCTTAATGGCTGAAGAGTTTAAACATTTCAAACTAATATTGGGAAATATCTTCACTATTTTTTAACTGTATGTTAAAAATACATAATTTAATTAACAGTAATTCTGTTGAGAAGTTTTAGTGCTGAAATACCTTGAAGACTAGAGCCTTTAGGAGGTAAGCTGGCCTGAATCTAGGATGTAAGAGTTGCTTATTGTTTTCCCTTTTAAAGAGTTGAATGAAAATGTAATGTTGCTGGTTCAGCTTTGATAAAACTTCATTAATATTCTCAGTAGTCACATATTAGTTTGGCACCTAACTCTCCAAATACAATATATTTGGCAACAATTCCTGTTTATGCTTTTCTCAGAGAGATCAGTGAGCCAGCTGATTCACTGTGTGCCTACTTCTAGCCAAAGCCAGTATTGGAATGCTTGGCCAGAACTGGGGTGGGTTTTCATTTTTTGAGTGAAAGTAGTCTTGGATTAATTAAAGCATGAAAAAGCAGCTCTTGTTCTTTTAGACAAACTGCAAGATTGGTGTCCTCTGAACAGGTAGAAAGCATTCCCTTGGTTTCAAACTGGACTCAATACTTGCATGTACTAAAAAAACAAAGTAAAGGTACCAAACAGAACTTGGGTCTTAGTGTCAATATTGGGAAAGCTAGCTCTAATTTGGAAGTGAATTGAAAAGAAATTTGGGGTGTTGTATGTGACTAACAGTATACACAAAACTGTCAATTCTGAGATGATTTGCATCTGTCTAATAATAGTGTGGTGGGCAAACCAGGCTTATATACTTTAGTCTGGGCATACTTCTGTAATTTTTTCAGCTTACACTCATGCTTTCTTCATAGGCTTTGAAAAATTGTTTTCTGTATTCTCTTTTAATGTCTTGTGTTATAGCCTAAGAAACAGGCTGCAACAGAATTGAAGAATAGAGTTGATGAGTCAAATTTAATTTAAACTACTATTTCTACTGGGAGTAACAATGTTGTTTATTATTGTTTGAATGTTTTTTAGCTTAAATTCAAATCAGTGGTAAATGATAGCAATGTGTTTTGAAATTGACCTTACTTGGAGGTACTGATAGAGTTTCAGCATTGACAAATGTAGTAAATCTATTATTATATCTAATTCATTTGTATTATTTATGTCACACAAAGGTTCAGAATGTAATTATCTTTTTAATAAGCTGAAATTGGTAAAATGTATTTTTACTTCTATAGTAGCCATAAAACGGCCTTTGATGAAGAAAGGGCTTTCTGGGAGTTAACTTAAATAAGAAATTGACTTTGTAGAACATTTACATGCCTATTTAAAAAAATGGAAAAAAATGGTTTCTTTTAGGACTCTTTCATTCCTGGGGATGAGTTTATGTCTTGCCTTGATGTTCATTTGCTCTTGGTACTATGCTTTGATTGCCATGCTAATCGCAGGATGTATATACAAATACATAGAATATAGAGGGTAAGACCATATATCTTATTTATCCTATATTTAATATCTTTAGCATTCAGCAAAAAGCCCTATTGTATAAAATAGATACAACTGAAGTAATAAAGGTCTGAGTATTCCTCGGAACAAGGTAAGATCCTGTCTCTGTTAAGGGTTGTAAGTTCTCAGATTCACATTTCTCTGGAAGCTCTGTTCCAAACTTCTCATCAGCCAGAACTAATCAAAATATGAACCAATAAGGGTGGGAGACTTTTCACTGGAGCAGAGATGATGGTGTAAAATTTTGGTGCTTCAGGAACATCACCTTTTAATATCAAGCAGTAACTATTACAGAACGCTTATATTATTATTATCTCGTGCTAAACCTCAAAACCTCTACTTTTTTTTTGTGTGGACTTTAGCACTTTTTAGTGCTAAAGTTAACCAGTAACTCTAAACAGAGTTAATCATACTGAACAATCCAGAGCACCCACTGAAAATTGTCTGTTTTCTGAGGGCTTAGATAATCTTTAAATTGCAACATACTTTGCATTGTATGCATTTGACAAGAGACAGAGTCACACCTGTAGGAAATGCTACCTGTAGGAGACTTGAAGAACATGCTGAATTCAGAAAAAAAACCAAAGAAAACTGAAAGAGCAAACAACCCAAACCCCCCCAACTAAACAACATATACAAACACTAGAGGTGATTATGATCAGTGTGTGCTGCATGAACATAAGAGAGAGGGAGGACAGGCAAGGGAGATGGACCCCTTGCCATAGTAGAATTCCAACAAAGAAAACACTGTGTGAGGCTAACAGTTCTTATTTGGTTGGCCGCTATAGGTTTATATTGGAAGAGAATGGACTGGAAAATGGGGGAAGATTGAAAGTGGTCAGGAGGGTAGGTGGAGCTTTAGGCTTACCTGGGAGAAGGCTGTAGTGGTGGTGTTGAGGGGGAAGATAGATTACGCTAATCCATAGAAAGTTAAGTTTCTCTTATTAATTTTGCTGCTTTAAAACAATTCCTCTTAAGGAGCCTTCACTTACTCATTCTAGTGCTAAAAGGCAGCTTAAGTAGCCTTCACAATTACAAAAATGCTTTTAAGTATGAATAAAATAGGCCATAGTAAATATTAATAAATACTTAAGACAAAATTACCTTGAAGGGACCTGAAGCTGCTTCACAAGCAAACCTGCAAGACAAGGTTTTTTCATGCATTCATGCAAAAAAAAAAGATCATTTTTACACCCATTATCCCCTACATGAGAAAATGTACTTATTTTGTATAAATAAAAAGGACCCTGTTAATTGAATCTCTTCTGCATCCCAAAGAGCGGAAAAAGAATGGGGCGATGGAATCCGAGGTCTGTCCCTGAATGCAGCTCGCTATGCTTTGCTTCGTGTTGAAGATGGTCCTCCTCACACCAAGAATTGGAGGTAGAGTCCTATGTTTTCCAAGGTCACATAATTCTTGAAATATGTACATGTGTTGGGAATACTACTGGTAAAGCTAATGGCCAAAGTGAAATTCACTAGTAAAATAAAGTTTTATCTTGGGCATGGCAAGGATGTCATTACAGTAGTATTATTTTCTCACAGTAGAATGCAACTTATGGTTAGCATGTAATCTACTTTGCTGGAAATATGGGCAAACTAACTTGAACTTTAATCCATGTGGTGTTGACTTGGTTTTCAAAAGTGCAGAAGAATCTTAATGTTTGATTATTCATAGATTTTTTTTCAGATTTAAAGGAACAGCTTTCCTTGAGTCTGTCTCTATAAAAGAAACACTGTATTTCCATAAGTGGGGTTTTTTTGCTTCTGTATATGTTCCCTCTGAAATACGTTGTATAAATATACAGAGGATCCTTTATTTGTTTAAATTCATTTTTGTGGCAGTCTTTTTTCATATGGCTTCATTCAATAGTAACACTTTCTAAATTGCTTAGATAGCGTAAAAACAAAAATCTCACAATTGCTGTCCATTTGTATGTAACGAGGTTAGATGTCCACTGTTATTTTTGCAATTTTTTTTAACTTGTTATATTACCAATTTTCTCAAAGCCAACATCAAAAATTACTTGACATTTAAGATCAGAAGAACATTTACACATTGTCACTTCTGGTGAATGCAGTGCAAATCAGGAGAACTCTGATCAATGGAACACACAAAAAAGGAATTGCTGTTAAATGTGACGCTTCAATTATAGTCACTGTTCAGTGATAGTATCCCTGGGTGCAGACACATGCAATATTCTGTTGCCCTTCAGTGTAATGGCATTATTTTACCCTTTGTTCTGCCTCTGATGAACTTGGCATCTCAGAGGCACCAATGTAATGTAGTGTTGACACTCCTGTTACATACCTGACTGCTTCAGTTCCAAACAAATTAGCCTTCTGTTGTGTCAATGTAATTGCTAGAACTGGACCATCTTGTTATGTCTTAAACTGTGCTGGTTTGTGCCTACTCTTTGTCATTATTTTGAATTTGTAACAATGATAGGAAAAGTATAAAATGTTGGTTTGGGAAAAGTAAACAGATTGGATATTGATTTAAAGGAAATAGAATGCATCCTCATCTAGTATGCAGTTGAAACTGAACTTGGGGTACTATCAGTATTGTTAGGGGTTTTGGACAGACCTGTGCAGATTGAGGAATGGGTCCGTAAGAACATCATGAAAATCCAGAAGGATAAGTGCGAAGTTCAGTACCTGGCACAGGCATGTCCAGTGTAGCAATACAAGACTGGAAACCTGCTCTGGTGAAAAGGACCTGTGGTTCCCAGTAGGTAGGAAGCCAGCAGCGTGTCTTGGCAGTGATATGATGAACTATATCAACAGGAACACAAACAGTACATTAAGAAGTAAATATATTGGGTGATAATATTCCTTGTTGTTCAGCACTCACTAGAATACATCTAGAATATTTCATCCAGGTTTAGGTGCCCTAATGTAGGAATGACAGCAGTAAGCTGGGGTGGGTTCAGGATAGGACGACAGAGATGATAGTTGGAACATAGGAACATATCTCCTGTGGGGAGAGGCTGAGGGAAGTTATGCTTATTCAGCTTGGAGAAGGCTGAAAGGGAGCATAAAAGCTATTGTAACTGGCTAGTAACTGTCCAAAACCTGAAAGGTTGCTGAGAAGATAGTCAGACTCCTTACAGCAGTATATGGTAGGAGACACAGAACATGATAAAATAATGAAGCATTAAAGAGGTTACCAGATGTGATATAATCTCTTTCTGGAGGTTTTCAAGATCCAGCTGGATGGAGCTGTAAACAATGTGATGTGCATTCAATGTTAAGTCATTTCACGTAGCAGGTTGCACTAGATGACATTGGAAGGGTGGTAACTTAGATTCAATAATTTTCTGAGTAAAACTGTTCTTTAATGGAGCTTTTCAGAAGGATGGTATGCTGGTTTATGTAGCTACTTTGTACCTGAAGTGTTCTTGCTATTGCAAATTATTGCTTCCTTGATTAATAGTTGACTGTCTTCCATTGAATTAAGCACTTAATCTGCATTTGAGTAATTGTTAATTTTAATTTTCCAATTCTTCCTTACTTATGAATCTGTGTATATGCTTAACTTTTTTTTTTTTTTTTTTTCCCCCCCAGGCCACAAGTTTTGGTCTTACTAAACTTGGATAACGAGCAGTTAGTGAAACACCCAAGATTGCTTTCTTTCACCTCTCAGTTGAAGGCTGGTAAAGGACTGACTATTGTGGGCTCTGTGCTTGAGGGAGTCTACTTAGATAAATGTACAGAAACTCATAAAGCTGAAGAGGTATGTAAAAGCTTGCAAATACTTGTAATTTACATTAGCATTTAAATGGTGCATCTGGGTTTGGATAATTCATGTCTTGACTTAGAACAGACTTGTAAAATATTGAATAAAGCATCTATTTTTGCTATCAGCACAGTCAATGATTGTATAAAAAGAATAGGTTGATGTATGTAGCAAAATGTTTTATAAAATTTTCCAATAGGATGAGACAATACTGACATATCTTAGCTTTTTATATTCTTTAATACTGAGAGCCCTGGGCTTACAATCAAATTGCATTCTTGAAAAAAACACAAGTGATGGAATTTTAAGAAATTACCTTATAAGGAAAACACGTTTCTTTTTTCCATGTGTCTTAGCATACTTTCCATGATCTTGCACAGAAGTGAGGCTGACCAGTCTGTAGTTCCTGGGTCTTCTGCTTTCCCCTTTTTAAAATTGGGAGTTATATTTCAAGTACTCAGGGACTTCCCCTGATTGCCATGATTAACATCATCCTCATGATGTGATTTTCTACATAGCAGAGTTAGGATTAGGAGTAGTCTTTGTTGGAAAACTGTAAACAGCATTCTTCTTGAGATCCTTTACTTTCTTTCTCTCTTTTTTTTTTTTCCTTTCCTGTTTATCCCATATCTCGAGATAAGGTAGGATGAAGTAGGGAAAAGTTTTAAGTGGTCATATCATTTAAGATGACATGTAACTATGCTTACAAACAAGTGAATTTAATTTGAATGTTTCTATAATAATAATTACTGTATTTGCTTACCTATGCAAACTCTCCTACATCTAACTTTATGGAGTGGGGAAACATTTTGAGAAAATACCATATTTCCTGTATTTTATTGAATAAAACCTTCAAAAGTATGTTTTGATTGCCATTTTATCTTCAAAATTTGTTGATTTCTTCAGTGTTGTTCAAAAGAGTCTACTATTGTGATCCAAGTCATGTTCAAAGCTGTGTAAAAACACCTGTGATTTATTCAGACCTGGTATCTTTAAAATAGATGAGCATTGGAGATATTGAAATGGACTTAACAAAGCTAACCATTTTTTTCACAGTTTTGCTCTCCTCCCTCTTAGTATTCAGGTTTGGCCACAGTGGTTTTTAAAATAGCAAAGTATAAAGCCTATGTGATATTGCATGAATAGGCTCCAGGAGAGCAGTTAGCTTGAAAACATGGTGGGAAAAGTCTACAATGATATATTGTGAAAGTAATTGTTATTAAGGTGTTACTGTCAACATGTGTAAGTAGAAAACAAGACAGAGAATACAAAATCGACCTATGAAATAAAATGAAAAACTCCTTTAAACAGAAACTGTTTACCCTTGAGGACTTGAAACGTTACCTGTAGTTGGCTTAACGTAAAGTCAACTATGTTTCTGAGAGAATAAAAGGGAATGCGTTTAAAGGAGGCCTGATCCATGGGTTCTTCAGAAAGTCAGACCTGGTGTCATTCAGGAACCTATTCCTTTTAAAATGGAAATGAAGATTAATTGTAAAAGTTTGAGCATCTGGAGGCCTCATTGGTTCTGGAAGATTTACACTAGAAAGTGTTTCTAGGAGACATGTAGGAAATCAAAGATTTTTCCTGTCTGTATTTTAAAAAGAAAAGAGCAGCTATTTAAACTGATATGCCCTGATATCATTTGCACAGACAGACTTGTTAGCTTTGCTAACAAGTCCTCTGAAGACTTTTTTGTCTTCTAAGCAGGGTTTCTGATGTGAAGCCACACTGAGTGCCAGGCATTCTCTGATGAAATCTGTTCCTGATGATCTTTGACAGGAATTTTGGTGCTTCTAAAACTCCAAATATTGATGTGAAACCATGCTGACCTCCCACAGAAGTTCATTGAATATGATGGGATTTTTAAAGTTATTTCATCAGAGGAATAGTTAACACCAAAGCTGATGTTCCCTAGTCAACCTTGATACCATTTTGAATGCTTCTTTTAAACTACTTGGTTATGTGTCTGCATGTTTGTCAGTGTTTAAATTAAGAGGAGCCATCTTGAAATTGAAAGGGTGTGGGATATTTAATCTTGTCTATTTATCTTGTCATTAGTCTTGTCATTACTTAGACAGTGATTCCAATGGTCTCCTGCACATCAGTTTTTCCATGTTTGGAGCTGATCAACTAACCAGTCTCTTAATGTCAAAGATGTTTTAGGAACCTTCTTTTTTTTTAATTTATTTTGACTTTACCTGAAGCAGTGTTACTTTACTGCTCTTTATCAATGTGTTTTCAGTCATGTCTCGTTCATTCTTCTGTGGAAATAAAAGGCTGAATAATTAAATAATTAAAATAATAAAAAACTGTGTATGGTGTCTTTTAGGGGAGGTTGTGTTTGGAGCTTTAGTTTTCATGGAATAATACTCATGCTTTTGAAATTAGTCATTTCTTGATGTTGGTTCTGCATTGTTGATAATGTTTTACTATTATTAGTGCTGTTACTCCTGGTATTTATCATCAGTGTTGATGATTTTATTTTCCCACGCACAATCTTCCTTTTACAGAATGTTAAGGCCTTAATGGGAGTAGAAAAGACTAAAGGATTTTGCCAGATTGTGGTGTCTCCTAACTTCAGAGATGGAATATCCTACTTGATTCAGTCAGCTGGTCTAGGAGGGATGAAGCACAACACAGTCCTGATGGCATGGCCACAGTCATGGAAGCAGACAGAAAATCGTTTCTCATGGAAAAATTTTGTTGGTATGTGTTTATTGACTTTCTCCTATGCATTTGTAATACAACTATGTAACTAATGTATTTGCTATGTGGAGGATATGTGATATAGAGCATCTGGTGGACAACTGACTATTTCCCCACATCTGATTTTATCTGGAGTGGGTTTTCTCAGACCTCTTAGACCTTGGCTTTGCTTGTTCTTCTTCCTCTTTTGCCTCAGCAGAAGCCTTTAAATTTAAAACAAAAACTATGAATGAAAATTTCAAGTTCTTGATTAAATATCTTGTTTTCCCTTGCAGATACTGTACGAGAAACAACAGCAGCTCAGCAAGCGCTTTTGGTGGCTAAAAACATTGACTTATTTCCAACAAATCAAGAACGTTTTACTGAAGGAAACATAGATGTGTGGTGGATTGTTCATGATGGTGGTATGCTGATGTTACTGCCTTTCCTCCTTCGACAGCACAAGGCAAGGACAACAGAAAATGGCTGGGACTTCATTAAGTACTCTCTCACTTTGTTAGAATCATGCAAGGGGATAGCAATCACAGTGCTACAAACAGTTGTAATGTATCTTTTTGGTAGGTTTGGAGAAAATGTAAAATGCGTATCTTCACTGTCGCTCAAATGGATGATAATAGCATTCAAATGAAGAAGGATCTTCAGATGTTCTTATACCATCTTAGACTGAATGCTGAAGTGGAGGTTGTTGAAATGGTATGTTACTACATATTTTTAAGGTGCAACTGGGACTAATCTTTTAGTTTAAAGAGATTTAGCTTTTTTTCACATGAAGAGATATTAGCCCAAATATACAAAGGGAAAGACTGCAGTCCCACCAAGAACAAGAAGTTTTGTAAAGCATCATTATCTTATTGTGTCACAATGCTAGTGTGTGTAGTGGTGAGTTTTAATGGTTTTTTCATTAGGTTTTGAGCTGTTTTGATGTGTTAATGCCTACTTTATTTATGAGGAATAGTCCATAGAGATAGTTGATTCAGGGATGAAAAAACAGACATTGAAATGGAAAGCTTAATGTGCTTAATCTAAATAAGCCATGATATCTGATGTGAGAGAGGGTGAACATGTTTGTGTCTCCAACTGCTGTATCAATATCTCCCTGGAATAAGGAATCCCTAGGCTCCAATGTCAGTTACTTTTGGTATTGCCAACCTCAGTCAGCATTGAACAGCAAAACTATATAGTTACAGATTCACAAGTCAAATAGTGACAAAATTAATTTTGTAACTTTTTTTCCTTTTTAAAATATGGGTGATAAACTGTTGCAGAGAAAGGTCTAAAGCTGTCTAGACCCACTTTTTTTGTCAACTAAGGACTTAATTTCCAGCACTCAAAGGTGAATAGCATAAGTCCAAAGTAAGATGCACAAAAAGCCCCCAAAACCCCTAAATGTTTAAGCTCATTTTGAAGAGGAGTCCATTGGTTCAAAACTTCTACTCCCACTAGTTCCTAGAATGACCAAAACCAATTAAAAAGATTTATCATGCTGATCAGCCATAAAGCAAATTTTAAGAATAATTTTAAATTACTTATGAAAAAAACTACTTTTGAAAAATTTGGTTAGTATTTCTAACTAGGAAGTAAGGTAGATCCTTTTGTTTCTTTTATTGTTCTCTGCTTGGAGTGCTAACTATGTAAGTCTAAAGTGTTGTGGCATGTGCAGTTGAAAGAACAGAGTGCTGTAAAAAGACTCAGCCTTGGTTAGATTTTTGAGCAGAAGACAGTATAGGAAGTACAAGTTATTCTTTTACTATGTGGTTAATATTTAATCCTGAGAATCTCCCGAAATGTAAGAGACACTTTACAAGTTAGTGATAACACAGATGACTGCTAGAGGTTTTTACATTGTGTTTTAGTTTAGAGCCAGTATGAGAATACATGCCAGAATTTCTTCATAATTGCTTCTGTTTGTGAACATTTCTCCCTGGTGAAAGGGCAATGTGTTATTTTGTGCCTCTAGGCACTTTTTAAGGAAATGTGTGCACATGTGCTCAGGTGGCAGCAATGCAGACCCAGTTTAAATAAGTACTTTCAACCCTTTCTCACTTCTGCAGCCTAATTGTAACATTATCCTGGAATGTCTGTCCCAAGTACATAAAATTTAGGTAAAATCACAATAATATATAGTAGGATAGTTCACTGTATGAAATTGCTGTTTGAAGATTGAGTTTTAAAAATGAGGTAGAAATGATTGATCAGTTCTGTGCTTGGGATTAATGCCATAAATACATCCAGGAGTGAATGTGGCACACTTTCTAAATGTTGTTCTTTTAAATAGTACTTCTGGTGTTTCTAATGCCAATTTCTTCTGCAGTTTGAAAATGATATTTCTGCATTCACGTATGAGAAGACACTTATGATGGAACAGCGATCTCAGATGCTGAAGCAGATGCAGCTATCAAAGAATGAAAGGGAAAGGGAGGTAAGGACTTTGGCTTTGCAATATGTTCTGAAAGTACTCTTTCTTGGCTGTGGCTTCTAATCAGTTTCTAACTAATCAAAGATTTTCATAATTGCATTGTGTTTCTCTACAACAGCTTTCATTTGCAAGGTTAAAGTAATGTGGGGAAAGAAATAATTTCTTATTTGAACAGATGTTGAGAGTTTTCCTGTTCTTGTTAAGATGAATGCAAGTATTAATAAACAGAACATTTGAGCGTCAGTGTGGAATATATTCAGAGCATTTCCAAACTTGACATCAGTAGCTAAGGTTCATGATTATGCAGATTGACTGATTAGCTTTGATTATGATTTGGTCTTAGAGTCATAGAATTATTTAGGTTGAAAAAGATCTTTAAATCAAGTCCAACAAATAACTAAACACTGTCAAGTCCACCATTAAACCAAGTCCCTAGTTGTATCATCTTTTTAGTGATATAAATGGTAGTAAATGCTTTTGCTTCACTTAAATAACTTACATATCTCTACTGTGTTTAACTGTTAATTTGTAAAATAGCTAATTTTTTTTCTTGTGGCTTTTTTTCCCGTGTACTGATAATGGTAACTTATTTTTGTCCTAAGCCTTTTTGGTGTTAATCCTGTAAGTCCAAGCAGTTTGGTTTTTTCAGTTCCCCCCACCTCCCGCTTCTGTCTGTATTCCTTTTTCCGCTTCACATGAATTTTTGGAGGTTCCTCAGTGTGCTGCTGTAAATCCTCTTTATCCATGTTGTGGTAGTTTTCTTTTGATTTGAGCCTGCCTAACCTCGTTGCAGTAAAAAAGGAAACTTCTCTGTACCCCTTATTCAGAGTTATTGTTTCTTTAGGGAACAGTAGTATTTTTCCAGTGGAGTTTGAGTGATTAATCTGCATATTGTAGATTTCTAAGGATTTAACTTCCACACAAATACTTTAGAAGTAGCCCAAGGACCTAATACGCTGTAGTCTATAGCATATAAATTGCAGAGTAGACAAAAGAATTTCTTCTCAGCTCTGAGTTGGTTGGAATGTGGACTATACTTCAGAGTGTTGTTTGTGTGAAAGTTTTTCTTTCTTTCTATTCCCCCTCTCCATATATTTTTCTTTCTTTTCTGCTCACTTTTATCTGAAATAATCACCATTACAGCTTCAGCTTGTTCCTTCATATCAGGTAGGGTAAAAGCTGAGATGTTCAGAATACCATTGAATTTATTTCATGGTCTGAAGTAAAATCCTCGATAATTCCAAGAACCTCTAGTGCCTAATTCCTGCCTTGTCCAAAAATAAAAGTGATACCTGTCTGTTTCCGATTAGGGTATCTAAACCTACCTTGTTCTTTTGTATTTTCATCAGAAAATGTGATTTAGTTAAGCCTTCGCTTCCTCTGGAGTGACAGGTTGAGTATATGCACTCAGTGTGGCAGGCTCTTTCCTAATCTGTTCATCTTCTCTTAAAATGAGCTGAGCCATTCCCTCCAGTTTTTTTTTATTTATGGCAGCCAAAACATTTCTCTCATTAGTATCACTAGTTCAAATTAGTATTGCTTTTGTTTTCATTATGTCTCCAGACATTCAAATATAACCTCATTCCAGTTTTGAACATGAGTGTAATTTGGTTTCCTGTTACCACCAAGATGAGTAACCTCACTTTTGTTCTTGTGTGCTTCAAACAAGACTCAAACCTTCTCAAAAAGGAGAATATGGTTTTGTGCAGCATTCTTTTGCTGTTTCCCTCATAGGCATGTTTTTGTCCCTCACCCTCCTTTTATGTGGCACTTTTAAAATGGAATTTATTTGATCTTGCCTTTGGGTTTTCTTGTAGAAATGGAGGTTAGGGACTCAGTGGATTTTTGTTTCCTTTTTTTAGAAACTTGGTTGATTTGCTTCTATTGGAAGTGTAAATATAACATGTGCCTCCAAAGCATAAGATAGGCAAACTTAGGTGCAACTGCCAAACATTTATTTATTTGACTTTTGTCAATAGTGCTACAAAGGTGAAGGAAAACACTTCCTTCATTTCCTTGCTTCCCTTTCTGGTGGCTGTTAGCTTCTTTCCCTGACTAATCCTGACTAAATGACTGTTGGGTCAGGCAAAGATAGTGGGACCTGTGAGAAGGTAATAATCCATCCCACCACTACATTGTGTTGAGTTGTGCTGTTAGATAAGTGGGAGAAATCTGGGTACATGTAGGTGAGGAGCACAATTATAGATTTTGCCTCACTGATTTTTAGAGTTGGAAAGTAGCTTTCTCATGTGCTTAAATTTTTTTCATATTTTGATTGTAATTGAATAGAATAAACAGAATATATATGTACATGGAGGGATGTGACCCTCAGAACAAGTGAATATTTGAGGTTCTGATATAGACTAAAGGATTGGATTGGCTTTGTGTATTTGCAAATGTCTGTAAAGAGACTTCATAACTAACTGTTAAACATTCAAAAAAGAGCCCCATAACCTCCGATACCAAATCCAGTCTATTTAAATGAAGAGTAATATGTTCATCTGCTTTTTTCTGTAGATCTTTTTTTTTTCTGTCATTGGTAACCTTTTTATCCCAGATTCAGAGCATCACTAATGAGTCTCGAGGCTCAATCAGAAGAAAAAGCTACTCCAGTCCACTGTCCATTGGCCAAGATGCCCAGGCACTGCTGCCTAATGTTTATCAAGAGGAGGAGGTAGTTGGACGTTAGTGCTAGCTAGACAAATTTTCCCATTGCAACACTTGAAGTGCCACTATTGCAAACTGAACTACACACGAACAACTTGATCATTCATTGTTATGAAGCAGTTACTCATAAATTTTAATTTTTCTGTTTTTCAAAGTTCATTATCTTACCCTGTATTTTTTTCTCTAGATGATGCTTCTGTGACATGAACTACATTCTCTTTCTCATACTTATTTTCTGTAAGAGGAACACATTTCTGAGAGTGCCTGTTTTTCTTAAGAGCCAGAAGCAAAGATATTTCTCTGCCTTTTCTCTCTTAAAAAGGTGTTTCATTAAGAAGCATATTTCATGCTTTCACAAACCACTGACTTCCTTTGTATTGAAGCACTGAAGCTTCTCAGAGATCATATTGATGATTTTAGGTGTTTTAAGGAGATTTCTAGGCTTATTTGTAAGCCATTATTAACCCTAAATGTGGTTACTGCATTCTGCATGGTGAGATTGAAAGGAAATGGACTGATAAAATCAGCAGTTCTTAGTGTGCACTTAAAGTGTTGCTCATATCTTGAGATGTGTAACCTAGTTTGTAGAAGTGCTATCTATGTTTGTGTTCCCTTTCTTCTTGGAGTATGAGAACGTGTTGTGTTTCATGTATTTAATCTGGTATCAAAATAGCACTAATAAAAATGTGCTTTTGTTGTCTTTGCATTTTTATAAACGCGTGTTATAGGTCCAGAATTACTCTTGTCCTCACTGTCTTTCTAAAAATGGTGAATTGTCTTCCATTGAAGCATAGTTGTACTGAACTCATCTTACAGTTGTTAGTTTGAAATTTTAGTTCATTGGATACTACTGCGTGGTATTTATTGTATTGGTAAGGATCTGTTAGCTTTTTTTCATTCTCATGACAGAACTGTATTTTTGTAGTAACTTCTGATTAGTTGTCTTGACTCATGATTTAATCGTCTGTGGGCACAGGAAAGCTGTCAAACAAATAGGCAGTTATGTGAACCTCAGATTTGTACTCTAGGATTTGGGAATCCTCAAGGATAGGGAACAGGGAAATAATTTAGGGAATATACAGAAGCTCAAAGGCATTTAAAACCAGCTGCAGTTATAGTTTGTTGAACCACTAGAGGAATTGCTGTTCAGAGATCAAAAGTAATATTTTCATCTTCTTGAGTTTTCTTCATGCTTTTCATTGTGACCTTGAATGAAATTGATTCTTCTGCATCATCACATGTGTGAAGGGACATGACCATAACTAACGTGAATATCTGAGGCTCCAAAACAGAATAGGAGCTTCAACTCATGATTTAACAAGTCTCTGAATAGCTTTCAGAACTGTTAAAGAGTCTAAGGTACTGTGAAATGAAAAAGGGAGAACAGCAAAGTGCATATACATATGGGAAGAACAATATTATGTTCTTGAAGTTGAGTTTCTGCTATTAAAAGGGAAGAGAAGGCTTCTTCATGGTTGGATTGATAAGATTTTGTTATGTGATATGCCCTTGCATGCATAAATAACCAAAGCTAATAATCTAAATCTATAGCTAGCCTTCAATTCAGCCAATCCAGCGCTGATCCCATACTGGGCTCATGAGAGTCATGTGGTAGTTCAGCTAAAGGCATGTGAAATGGACATGTTTACAACAGTATCTGGGAAAATAACAATGTGACTGGTGAACAATGAGAGCAATGGCTTTCAAGTTTTTTACTGGTGAAACACCTCTGTGTTAATAAAGTACCCTCTGGTGGGATTCAACCTGACTTTAGTCCGTTACAAAAATAATGTCCCAGCTCAGATGTAATCCTGCAAATGGGAATAAATAAGTACATTTTTACAAGCAGTTTCACTTCATGCTGAAGTTAAAACAGTCTTGTATAGTGTCTCACAATGTAAGGTGCATTTTTCTGTATCTTCTTTTGTTCCACTGCTGTGGAATTCCTTTTCCAAATTCCATGATGTATAATTTGCAGTTGTTCTTTTTGACTGAACCTTGGGGTGATTGTTTGTTTTGTGGCCAGGCCCAGCTGATCCATGATCGAAACACTGCCTCGCGCTCTACTCCAGCAGTCAAAGCAAGTGTGGCTGCTGCTGTGCCAGAAAAAGTGCACATGACCTGGACTAAAGAAAAGTTTATAGCAGAAAAGCATAAACACAAAGATTCAAATGTGTCTGGTTTTAAGGATATTTTCAACATGAAGCCGTAAGTATACACATGGTGTTTGGAGTTCTGTATTTCATTGTGTGTATTTTAATGTGTGGGGTTTTTCATTTGGTTGTTTATGTTGTTGTTTTGGGTCTTGTTTTCTAAGAGATTCTGGTTTATTTAAAATTCCTTATGAAAATAGCATGGACAATGAGTATAAAGAGCCATTCAGAAGCATATTGTGAGTGAAGTTTAAATATGACAGACTTCAACCTGTAAGCTCAACTTCTGGATTGTACCAGAAAGCATATATGTTAAAATGCTTAATGATAACTTTTGTTTTTATTTCTTCCTAACAAATGACCATGTATGACCCTTATCTTATTTACTGTGTTTTGTTGTACTGGAGGGAGTACCAAGGAAGCAGATAACCTTTCAAGACATTTAACTTGGTTTTGGTTGTGGGTGGATTTTTTTGGGGTGTGTTTTTTGTTTGGTTGGTTTTGTTATTGTTGTTGTTTGGGGATTTTAGTGGACATTCAGCCCTCATACTGTAAATTTAAGCAATATAAAATATGTGCAAATCTGTATGTCTTGCTAGATTAAGTAATTTCCTGTTTATTCCTTAATGTCTTTTACTTAAATAGATAAGCGCTACTGTGTCAAGCCAGTGTAGTAGACACAAAAGGAATGACAGAAAGAAATCAGCTTGTTTGCTTCCTCATGCTGTGGTTTAAGCAAACACATGCATCTTTTCTGATTTCTGGAGGAATGCACTTAGAAGCATAGCCTAAATTTTTTTCTGCACATGACCAGAGCAAAGCTGTGGATGTCAACAGAAATCTTAGTATCTAAAGGAAACGTATGTTAAATATAGGGCTTGTAGACAATAGAGTTAGAAGGCATATTTAAAATTAATGTCTTAAAATCCTAAGTTGTGTTGTGGCTTTGCTCTGAGCTCTTTAGAAGCAATTTGTCTTTGCAAATTCAAAAAAATCATCCTGCTTATGACCTAAAGCATTGTTCTGGGCTGCATTATGCTCTTAATTATTTGGGTTTGTTTTTTTCATTAATATCTTAGAAATAGTTCCTGTTACTACTTTAGAACTGTGCAAGATGCAGGTTTCAAATATTATTATTTTAAAATTATGATGTGCAGTTGGGGTACAAATTGCAGTTCAAACTTTGTGTGCCTGTGCAGTATCTTCATAATGTTGAATTAAAATGTATCTGATGGCATAATTTTTTTTTCTATGCATTTGCTTCCCTTACACATAGCGAATGGGGAAATCTGTAAGTCTAAATTTACTTCACTTAAGCAACATAGGTTGTGTTCTTTTGGTTCTTGTAGTCTTGTGCATCGTATGCATGTTTCTAAATCAGAATTTGCAGTGCATGTATTCTTTTGTTCCTTGTTTAATATACTGTGATTTAGCACATATCACTGAAAAATATTCGTCATTGTGATTTGTTAATGTTCTCTTAAATGTTATAAACTTTCTATTCACGATAAGACACAGAACATGTTTTAGTTTCTGTAAGAATGTACTTGACAGTACTCTGCACCAGTGTAATATTTAGTTTTTTAATTAACTGCATTATTATGCTGCAAAAATAGCTCCCCATTGTGATACAACTACTTAGACAGTAAGGATTATTTGTTCACAAAGGGAACTTTCACATGTCATCAAAAGTCAGTTCTTGCCTGCCTTCTACCAATCCATGCATGTGTAGAAGTAACATAACTTTGGACATACATAGGGTATGACAGCATACAAAAATGGGATACTACATCTCCTGGGTGGAACTCACTTGACTGTTCTGCTTTTTTTCAGAGCTCAGCATTTTCTTCAGTTTGTCTGTTTAACGAATTGAGCTTCTTATGAAGATGTAGGAAGCTTACTTTGCTTTGTAGGATTTCAGTTCTAGCAGTGCTTGACGGCTAAATGGTGTTGGTCAGCCCCAGTTTACATTGTATACAATGTGAACCTTTATTTCAGTTCTGAATTTTTGCCCGCTGTTATCACAAATTTACTCTCTGCATTTTGGTTTTAGCTTGATGGTGCTTCAGCTTCAATATTTGTACATCCCCACAATTATACACTCTTGCCTCTCTTCATAGTTGTTCTTTGGTCTTTTGAAGCTGCAGTTCTGCTTCTGAAAAATTGAGCTTCAAGCATTATTTTGTTCCATATATGGATTTTGTACAGTTGGTTCTTAGGGATAGATGACTGCTGTGATAGAATATCCCCCAGGAGGGATTGATAAACTCAGGTTTGAAATGTCATTTTCTGTTGGGGGAGAAAATTGTGGGGGCTGAGTGTAGGGAGGAGAATCAATTAAATTGATAGAGGTGATCTCCACTGACCACTAAACTGAAGAACCAAATGCCTTTTAATTTTTTTGTAAAGAATCTACATTTGGGCAGTAGCTCTTCTGGCTAAATAGTCTAAGTTAGAGCTTGGGTGTTTTTGTCACACTTTTGCATATGACTCCAGTCTTGGCCAATTTCATGCAGATGGCAGGTTCTTAGGAACAGTAAGGAAACACTTGTTTTGTTTTGAAACACAGCTAAATCATACAAGATAGATACTAAAATAAAGACATTTTTGAAATCTTAGCCGTTTTTTTCTTCTTGTGCAGAACTTTACAACTATTATATTGGTAGATGCAGCAAGTAAAACATTAGTTAAAATTGATAGTGTAAGGGGAGAGGCTCAATTTCAGTTCAGTGCTTACTGCCTTAGTCTTACAACATGAGAAACTAGTAATTTTTTTCAAAATGTTGTGGTGTTTCTGAATTTTCTTCACCAGCTTGTAGTAATTTTGTAATGTTTCCTAAGGAGCATGAGTAAAACCTTGTATTCTACAATATAAATACTGTAATCTTGATGTTGCATTCCT